TATCTTCACTCGTTGTTCTATTGTAAACGTATCCATACTAAAAATTTCCAAAGATTATATTTTTTAATTCTAAAAAGAGAAATAGAAATAAATTAATAGAAAAAAAGTTATTTAATTTTTAAAATATAAAGTGACTTATGGGCCACCCTGTAAAAGGAATTCATTTTCACAGATGCTAACCAGTATATAAGAAATATATTCAATTAAAAATACGCTTAATATAAAAAATGTCAATGATAAATTATAAAAGCAATACCTAAAGATACCATAAAGGGTAAATGACTTTCAGATCAAATATCAGAATCTAATAGTTTTTTATCTGGTTGTAAAATTCGAGGAGTTGTTACTGAAAATCACTAAGCAAATTTAATTTTCTTTATTCCAAGTTTGGTAATCAATTAAATTTGTTTAATCATTATCCTGATAGTCCAAATATTAAAAAGTAATTATTTTATGATAATGTTCACATTGTTAAAAAAAATCATAAATAATTTATTACACTGTAAATTTGTCTTTTTATCATTTACATAAAATATACAATACAATTATTCTTATATTTATACCAAAATCTTCATTATGGTTACAAAAAGCAAATTATTTCTCTTGCAATGTCTTGCTATTTTTGATGAAACTACAAATGAAAATGATGAACATATGAAATTTAGGAAATTAGATTAAATTGAACTTAGGCAGAAATTTCTCATGACAACTCTGCCTTCTCAAGCAATGTTTATAGTGAAGCTTATCAAGTCAAGATGTTTGTATGTGCTTCAAAGAGACCCTAAAGAATCTAGATTAACTTAAAATAGAAAGCGGTGGAAGATTTCTAGTAAGCTTACTAGAGGTTCAATATTCAGAAATTGTTTTAGCATGTTGATCTTTAATTAAGGAGAATGTAAATTCTTGGGAATAAGATTTAAAGAACGACCATAATAACGTAGTTAATAATGAATTTATGACAAAATTAACTCAAAAGAGAATTAGTAAAGAAAAAATTTGATTTCTGTGTAAATTCCTAATGTTATTGTCGTTATGTGTAAAGTACAAATATATATATAAAGTACAAATATAAAGTGTAAAGTACAGTCGATAGTAATGTCAGAAGGTGGCCTGACATTACTATCGACTTATCTTATTCAATATGTCTTGTTCAATATGTTTTTGATGATTATGATGATTGTGTATATAGATTTAGTTTTTCATATTACTAATAGTTAAAAACTGCAAGACAGAAAAGATCATAAATTTGTTCTCAATATTGCAATGAAAAGCAGCTAAACTTGTTCTCAATATTGCAATTAAAAACAGATAAACTTCTTCTCAATATTGCAATATTCTTTTCTCAATATTGCAACTTGTTCTCATATTGCAATATTTTTTTCTCAATATTGCAACTTGTTCTCAATATTGCAATGAAAAGCAGCTTAACTTGTTCTCAATATTGCAATGAAATGCAAGCAACAGAAAAACAGTTAAACTTGTTCTCAATATTGCAATGAAACATAGAGCATCATAATATTTTACCCACTGGATTAAGATCTTATTCATCACACTAATTAAAACATATACTTCAAGAATCATCAAAAAATTACTGACTTTGTTCAAAAAACATATACTTCAAGAATTGTCAAAAAATTATTACTGACTTTGTTCAAAAAACATATACTTCAAGAATCATCAAAAAATTACTGACTTTGTTCAAAAAACATATACTTCAAGATATGTTTTTTGAACAAATCATCAAAAAATTACTGACTTCGTTCAAAAAACATATACTTCAAGAATCATCAAAAAATTATTACTAACTTCGTTCAAAAAACATATACTTCAAGAATCATCAAAAAATTACTGACTTCGTTCAAAAAACATATACTTCAAGAATCATCAAAAAATTACTGACTTCGTTCAAAAAGACAAAGAGTGAAATAATTTTTTATATTTTTTAATTTGTGTAAAAGTAACTTTGTATTAAGTTTCATTTTACTTGTGTTATGTTTTTTTTTTTTTGTTTCCTAGAATTAATTGGTTTGATTTAATATATAAATTATGGCCTGCTTTCCTCATTTACAATATCGCTCAAATTCTAATTTGTCATGTGATTACAACTATTTTTTGTTTTATCTACCAATTTCCATTTACTTTCTAATCTTGGTATAGAAATTAAATGAAACTTGAAGAATCATCATATTCAAGTCTAACAATAGGAGTTAATAAAAATATTTATATTACTAAAATTTTCTATTTTATTCCTTATAAAAAATTATTTTGTATTGATCAGAACAAAAAACAAACACTATTTCTAATATATTAATGTGTGTTAAACAACTCCGATTAAAGTAAACAAGACATTATTATTGAAGCTTTTATATAAATCCTATTTAGATGTTTTTGTGAATTTAAATATAAATGTATAAAAATGTTATCATAAATATAAATGGCTTTCTACTTTTTTAGCAAAAACGCAGAATGTAAGGCTGCATATTTTAGGTAGGCCATAGCTGCCATTATATCATTAAATGATCATCTTATATCAAAGTATGTAAATGCGGACATGGTTTAATACAGAAATTTTCAACGAGTAAAACATTAAGTGTGGGAAATTTCACCTTTAACCTTATTACTTATTCAACCCAAATCCTCAGTCAATAAAGCATTGCTACTTTAGATGTTTTCCCTATACCAGTTAATGCATGTGCTGAAGCCTCTAACCCTATTTCCACAGTTTATTTCTGCACTTTACCTATTGAAATTATCTGCATTTTATCAATGGCTTGCTATTGTTAATAATTTAAGCAAATCTGTAACACTGTCCACATATTTAAGCATTGTTTTGAAACGCTTTTTTCGCCTTTTGCTATTTGCAAAGTTATACTTTTTTTTAAAGCATGTAATAAGTTATTGTTTTACTAAAATATCTTACTATTAAAGTTAAAATTTTAAATATAAATATAAATTAAATATAAAACTTAAAATTTCTCACTATTAAAGTTGCTTACTATTAAAGTTTCTCACTATTAAAGTTTCTCACTATTAAAGTTTCTCACTATTAGAGTTTCTCACTATTAACGTTTCTCACTATTAAAGTTTCTCACTATTAAAGTTGCTTACTATTAAAGTTTCTCACTATTAGAGTTTCTCACTATTAAAGTTTCTCACTATTAAAGTTTCTCACTATTAAAGTTTCTCACTATTAGAGTTTCTCACTATTAAAGTTTCTCACTATTAAAGTTTCTCACTATTAGAGTTTCTCACTACTAAAGTTTCTCACTATTAAAGTTTCTCACTATTAAAGTTGCTCACTATTAAAGTTTCTCACTATTAAAGTTGCTTATTATTAAAGTTTCTCACTATTAGAGTTTCTCACTATTAAAGTTTCTCACTATTAAAGTTTCTCACTATTAAAGTTTCTCACTATTAAAGTTTCTCACTATTAAAGTTTCTCACTATTAGAGTTTCTCACTATTAAAGTTGCTCACTATTAAAGTTTCTCACTATTAAAGTTGCTTACTATTAAAGTTTCTCACTATTAGAGTTCCTCACTATTAAAGTTCCTCACTATTAAAGTTTCTCACTATTAAAGTTTCTCACTATTAAAGTTTCTCACTATTAAAGTTTCTCACTATTAGAGTTTCTCACTATTAAAGTTTCTCACTATTAAAGTTTCTCACTATTAGAGTTTCTCACTACTAAAGTTTCTCACTATTAAAGTTGCTCACTATTAAAGTTTCTCACTATTAAAGTTTCTCACTATTAAAATTTCTCACTATTTGAAGTTCTTATTAAGATTATTACTTAAGCTAAAAAAGAAAAAGGAAAAAGGTTTTGCATTTTTTAGCTACATTGTAGTAGTATAAATTGTTATTGTTAATATGTTTAAATACTTGCATATCATTTTTTATGGTACCAATTGAATTTTTTTTTTTTTTTAAACTGGCCAGCCTGGGCCCCTAATAACTCTTGAACCCCCTGTTGAAAGAAGTTAAAGATAAAACCAGATAAAATATATAAAAAACCTGTATCTGTATCTGGGTTAAGTAAAATTAAATAAGTTCAAAAAATTAATTCACAAGATTATGCATTTTGATATTTAAAAATAAATTCAATTTTTTTGAATTTAGTTTTAAAACTCAATATATTTTCAATTTATATTTTTTTAGTCTTGGTCATAGCATTAAAATCTTTTAAAAAAACTATAAACTTCTGAGTGAGACTCTTTAAAAGCAACTCACTTAAAAGATATAAAACTTTAAAATAAAACCCTACTTAAAAGAAACTCATTAACCATGGATGTAACCCTCCCAATAATAGCCCCACAATAAAAAATACTTAGTTTCCTAAGCTTTAAAATAAGTTAATGCAAAAATTTGCTTTAAAACCATGTAAAGAAAAGATCTAATCACCTTTTGTATGGGTTATCAAGAAGGGTGTTTGACCGTATAATGATAGTCTTAGGTGATTCAGTGGCCTCAGTGGTAAAATTTTAGGATATGAAGATAGTTGATACAAACTTTTTTAAGTTGAATGTGAAAAAAGAGTGCCAGGTGATAGTGTTTTATTATGGGACAAAGGGATAAATCAAGTAGTTGAGACAACACAAGTAAACAAGAGTGGTGGCATTAAGATTAGCTATTAGAAATGTGGTATATTTAATATATTTTCAGTATAATCACCTCAAAAAGGTTGAAAAAGTAAAGAAAAAGGAGTAGCTCTTCATTTATTTTAGCTGCGTTTTGAAAAATGTTACAAAAAATGATAGACTGATTGTATATGGTATATATTGTTTCAGTATATGCTCCTTTTATAGATTAAACAAGAGAAAAAATTGATAAATTTTCACAGTTTATATTATTATATTTCTACAAATACTCCCTTTTGTAAATAAGTGAAAGCATAAACATTTTAGGTAATATACTTGGAGTTACTATACATAGCTGAAAAAATATTTAAAAGAGCAAACATAGGTCATCATTACAAAACAAAATAAAAACTATTGAACAAACCTTGGACATTTCTCAGTAGGAGTTATTATTGCTCCATGGTTTAGAAATGGTGTTAATATAGGTTCACCTAAAAAGCAATTATTTAATTTAAATTTAATAACCTTTAATATTTGAAATCATATAAAATTAATATCTATCACGCTTTCATAAGATTTGTTGTCTCTATAAATAACTTTTAACCTTATGAAAAGCTAAAAGTTAACTAGAGATGTTGAAAACATTTTTGCTACAAACATGTTGTTTTGTTTATGCCACAGACATGTTGTAATCTCTCAATAATAAATACACACCTGCATCATAATCTCTCAGTATTAAATACACACCTGCATCATAATCTCTCAATAATAAATACACACGAGCACTGTAATCTCTCAATTATAAATACACAACTGCATCGTAATCTCAATAAAAAATACACACCTACTATCAAAAATAGTCTACTAGTCAAGATACCTTAAGATCATAATGTATTAACTTTCATGATTTAAAACCATTGATGTATGTATGCTATAAAAATGTTTGATTGGACTACATTGTTTTTGTAATTAAAATATATTTATGATCATAATGACATATTAACTTTTCATGATTTAAAACAATAGGGTTATGTTAATAAATGGAAATAAATAATTGAACTTACTCTAACATGGAACGGTCAGCATTTACATATTGTTAACATAAAGTGCTCTACTTTAAAGTAAAACAATAAAGTAACAACAAAGAAAAAATTTGCATTAATGATGTTTTATAGAAATCTATTCTCCATACTTGTAAAGCAATACCTCTATTATGCAATCAAATATAGGCAACTAACAGAGTCAAAACAACATTTGGAAAAACCTCCCAAAAAATCTAAAATTTTAGATGGTCAAAACAAACAGTGCCTGTTTTTATCATAACTCTTATCAAGCTTATCAAGCTTCTTATCAAGCTTATCATAACTCTTATCAAGCTTATCAAGCTTCTTATCAAGCTTATCAAGCTTATCAAGCTTCTTATCAAGCTTCTTATCAAGCTTATCAAGCTTCTTATCAAGCTTATCAAGCTTCTTATCAAGCTTATCAAGCTTCTTATCAAGCTTATCAAGCTTCTTATCAAGCTTATCAAGCTTCTTATCAAGCTTATCAAGCTTCTTATCAAGCTTCTTATCAAGCTTATCAAGCTTATCAAGCTTCTTATCAAGCTTATCAAGCTTCTTATCAAGCTTATCAAGCTTCTTATCAAGCTTCTTATCAAGCTTATCAAGCTTCTTATCAAGCTTCTTATCAAGCTTAAGATTTAGATTTAATAGATTTAATATAAATCACATTTAATAAAAATATCTTAATGCAAACATTATTTTTATCAAAGTAATCTAAAGAAATTGTAGATTTTATTTATATCAAAAAATGGGGTCTAAAGAATATTAGTATACTTACTAAGTGCAACATTCTAAAGTAATTTTACCACTTTAATTAAAAAAAAAAATGCAAATATTTGCATCAAAGGACTAGAATTATCAAGCCTAAACAAAGTGAGGAAAAAATTTATAAGAATAATAAGGCAATAAAAAAAAAAGATATGTAGAACAGATATTCAGAACAAAATAAAAGCACTGTAAAAAAAAAAAAGAAAGATATGTAGAACATATATTCAGATATGAAAGCACTGTAAAGTGAAGTAATTAAAACAAGCAACTTAGGTAATACAGATGCAAACCTCGGAATTAGGAAAAATGAGGTTGGCAATAATTTGTTGACCTCAATCTCTTTGAGGTCAGTATAAGGTCGGCAAAAATTATTTGATACAAAGGTCTGACTATAAAGCATAAGAACAAGGTCGGCAATTTTTCGCCGACCTCAAACACTTTCAGATTGGCAGTTAGGTCGGCATTGCCGAATGCCAACCCTAATTCCACGGGTTGCAGACATAATAAAAATACAAAACCAACAAACACCAAAAACAAAAAATATTTTACCTTTTTTAAAAGTTGCATTATTTCATTTTATTTATGACAATCACAGGGCCTACTTTTATTGGCCCTATTTAATTTGCATACCATATATTAGTTTATTATGCAAACTTATTGAGTTTTTAGATAAAACAAAAAAAAAAAAAAATTAAAAAAATTACAGGGTCTTCATGAACTGTTATATTTTACAGAATATTATTATGTAAAATATAACTTTTAACTTTAACACACATTTTTTTTTTTAAACTTTAAATTCTTAACTTAAAAGATATAAAATATTTATTGCTAGAAAAAATTAGAACATTTTATTAAGCTAAAAGATAAAGTATTTAAACATTAAACATTATAATATTTTAAACATTATTTTATTGTGAATTATATTAAAACTTTTAAAATAATGTTGCGAACTCATACTCATTTCAAAAAATAAAAAAGTTCAATTGAAAGTGACCTACTGGAGAAAATAAACATGTTATTTTGAGACTATATATTAAACTTACATTACCCTGCAATTATTAATGAAAATATCCACCAAAATCAACTCTCAGCAAGGAAAAAATAGGTGAGCTGATAATTTACAGAAAATTTATTGCCTGTGAAGAAAGAAGAAACCAGATGAAAAAGTAGCCTGACCCATATTAGGTAAGTTAGTAAAACCATGTGTGGCCATTAAGAATTGTATATAGCTAAAGATGTGGAAAACTGCATGTTTTTAGATTAAGAGCGCAAAAATGATATTGGAAAATTGCAACCTTACTATGAATTGTTCGTGATATATATATATATATATATATATATATATATATATATATATATATATATATATATATATATATATATATATATATATTAGTAATAATAATAATATTAAACTTAATAGTAGTTGTAGTGCCCTTTCAACCATGTTTGACACAGAACGCTTGGCAGCTATAGCAATCGAGGTAATGGTGAGAAAGAGTCGCCGCACTTTGTTTATAAGAAAATGTGAACGAAAGTGTACGCAAATTTCTATGTATATAAACAAATTATGTAATGTTAAAACATATAAATATGATTCAAGTTTTGCAGTTTGACTTAAACTTAAAAATTGCATTGCGTCAACCTCTCCTTAATTTTGATCTATAGCATTTATTTTTGTTAAAAAAAATTATTATATAGTTTTAAAATTTTTTAAGTCAACATGCCAGTGTGGTTGAGTGGTTAGCGCGCTGAGCTTCTAAACACAAGTGCCATAGTTTGACTCCTACCACTGGTGACTATTTTTTTAAATTTTTTTAGATTTTTTTAAATACAATATACTTATGAAGTTTTATAGAGATCATATATAAACATATGTAATGATATTATACACTTTTCAAAAGAAAAGATTTTTAAAAAAGTTAAAAATTCTAAAAACTTGTTGCGTATATATCATGATTGAGATACTTAGGGGCTATCCATAAAGGACATCATTGAAAAGGGGGAGGGAGGGTGTCAAGATAAAAAGGACAAAAAATGATAAAGGGGAAGGAGGAGGTTGTGAGAAAAGGACTTCACTTAATGGATTTTTTTTATGTTTTTTTTTGTTTTTACTATATTTACATGGGAAACTATGTAAACAATATTTTTTATGAAGTTATTGTTTAAAAATATTTTTTATTTTATATTTTAAAAATGTGGCAACAATCATTAAACCTCAATATTGTCTGCTACAATTTTTATTTTCACATCATGCTTTCAATGCCCATATGAAAAAATGTATAAAAATAATCTTAAATTCACTTCTAAAATCTTATAATAATGCTAATCTGACTAAGAAAAACCCAATTGTCAAAAAGAAGTTAATAAAATATGGAATGAGATCAAAAAAAGTTTTTTTTTTTCTGTCAAATAGAGTAATCCCAATTTTATGACATACTATCAAGGGGGTATAGGGGAAAAGGATAATCGGTGACAACGGGGAGGGAGTATAAAATTGCAATAAAAATGGTGACATTCTTTATGGACGACTCCTTATGTTATTTTAGTTTTACATTTTAAGTTTTTTTGAGATTAAGTTGTGTTTGTGCAAAGAAATTTAGTATACAATATGCTTATATATAGAACTATGAAGTTGTTTTGATTTGCATTTTAAATTAAAAAAAAATTAAAAAAAAAAACAAACTGATAATTTGAACTTGCCCCGTGGCAACCTTAACTTTTTTAAACAATAAGGGGGTTCAAAAAGTTTATTTTTAATAAGAACATAATTGAAAACTCTCATTTTGTATTCAAATTAAACCATTTTATTAAATATATTATTTTTAAAAATAATTATAACTTAAAATTATTTAATATTGATATAATAGGGAAATTTAGAGTATTACAGCTACACCCCATCCATCTAGTCAGCGTGACGTTACTCTGTATTAAAAGTATTGTTTTAAAATTAACCATCTTGAATTGGGGAAAAACAAACTAAAAAATTAATTGCGGTTTGTTGATTTTTTTTTTAAATTATAAAAAGTTGTGGTGCAGTGGGTTGTACTAACAAGATAAAATAAAAAATCAAAACTTAAGTTTTCCTAAAGATGAAGTATTTAAAAGAATGTGGTTGGATACGATAAATCATGCTGTAGATAGTAGTTAATGTAGCAAGCAATGGTTTCCTAAAATCTTGTAATGTCTATATTTGTACGGCACACTTTATTACTGGTGGGTTACTTTTAATTTGCATCTTAATTTAGTACTGGTAAATAAAAATCAAAATATCAGTACATTTTAAACCTTAAAATAACCAAAACAATATGTAGACAATGTAAGACGTCATTTTATTTAAAAAGGGATCTAAAAGTATTTAAAAATAAAGTAAAATCACCTAAAAGATTTACATTTTGCAGACATTTATTCGCTGTTTCTTTTGATTAATTTTTAAAGTAATTGTAGGACATAAAAATACTGTTAAGTATCGTTAAGTAATGTTTTCTTAACCTTGCATATAAGAAAGAACAGTTTGTTTTCCCCCAATTCAATATGGTTACATTTCATGATAGTCTCGTGATTCTGACTAGATGGATTAAACATTCTAAACCGAGAGTGCAACAATGACAAGATTTAGATAACTATCAAAATAGTATTATACTCCATTATTTTTTGGCTTAACTTTTAGATCCGCAAATTACGCAGCACTAAATTTCACTAATGAACAAACCAAACAAGATCAAAGTTTTCTTTCGCAGAGTCATAAGTTAAAAAATCAAAATAGCTCATTGAGATTAATGAAAATCACCACCTAAAACAACTTAAGATCTTTTTCTTCTTTTTTAAAAATAAATTTAGCTTTGCGTAATTTAGGGATGATCCCTCAGCGTTTTATAGTCAATAGTTTTTAATGGTCTAAGATCTTTTTAGTCCTGCCACTTGAATAACATTAGGTACAAATGCCTGTAAGTGTAAACATCTTTAGCATATGTTGAGCTTGCATTGTATGGTATAATTGTGTATAATAAATCTATAAAAATGAAAAAACTTTTGAATTTTATTTTAACAATTAGAAAACTTTTTTGCTATATTATAATTTTTTTGCTATAAATATTGTTATGATTATTACAGATATATACTATAATAATTTTGCTATAAATATTGCTATAAATACAGCAAGATTGAAAAATAATATAAATTTAAAAAGGTAGGTCTTTAGTCCCCCAAAACAACACTTATGGCAATGCACTAAACCACTGAGCTATCACTGATATGTGTTTAGGAGAAAAAAAACCTAATTATAAATCTCTTATGATCTCTAGGTATGGGGAAAAAATGTTAATTTTTTTGCTCTTAAAGCAATTTTTCAAAATGAATTATTTTACGTAAAAATAATGAAATAAACAAATAATAGGTATAGAAATGATTAATATGGAATAGATAAGTATGGAAATACATATATACACACACTGGCGGCCAAAAGTGTGTATACACCCAAAAAAAAAAAAAGAATTTTTAAACATTTTATCATAAAACCTTTATTTTATGTAAACATTGACATAAATGTGTGTAAACTAAGTTGCAACAATATTTTCAATATTTTCAAGCATAGCCTTTATTTTTTAAATCTTCCTTGATACAGCCAGACATTGACCGCACAAGTTTTTGACAGTATGAAAGGTCAATTTTAGTGCACCAGACTTCAATAATAATCTTCCTTGGTTCTTAAACAGAGCTTGGATTTCTTTTTTCAACATCTCTTTTGACTTGGCTCCAACAGTTTTCGATAACATTTAGATCTGGGTTGTTACCTGGCCAGTTTTCAAGCACCTCAATTCTTTTATCACTCAGCCATTTTGTTGTAATTTTGGCAGTGTGCACAAGAATACCATCTTGTTGAAAGAAAGAGGTGTTATGAATGTCCATAAAAGTTTTCAATTTTTCCTTGAGGATATCAATATAAACTTTATCAGTAATTGTAGTATTTTGTGGCATTAACCATAATCCACCACGTCCGTCCCTGTGCAGAAATGCTGCCCCATATCATCACACTAGCAGATTTTTTTTACTGAACAAATTGCGTATTTGTGATTGTATCTTTGCAAAGGAGACTTTCTGACATATTGTATTGATCCATGGAACGGTTTTATTAAAGATTCATCTGAAAATTCAACTTTACCCCAATCATCTTCTGTCAAATGCTTGTAACGCTTGCAGAAAGCTATACGGTCACAAATGTTCTTTTTTGACAATAACGGTTTTTTGCATGGTTTGTATGCTTATAAATTCAAAACTTCAGACAGTGTTCTTTTAATTGTCCTGGTCAAAAACAGGTTTTATGTTAAAATATTCAGCAGCAATTTCCTTTGAAGAGATTCTTAGATTATTTACCACTATTCTTTTTATTAAATTTTCACCTCTTTTATTAATAATTTTTGGTCGGACGGGATCTTTTGCAAGTCTCTAAACAGACATCTTTTCCTTTTTTAATATTTATTTGAACAGTTTGCTTACATACACAACTTTTTCAGCAATTTGTCTTTGACTAAAACCTTCTTTATAAAGTGCATATATTGCACCACATTTTGTTGGTTCTAAATCACCCATTGCAGTATCAAACTAAACTAAATCTCACTTATATTATTTCGCATATAAGTGAGATTTAGTTTAGTTTGATATATATATGTACATATATATATATATATATGTACATATATATATATATATGTACATATATATATATATATGTACATATATATATATATATGTACATACATATATATATATATGTACATATATATATACATATATATATATATATGTACATATATATATATATATGTACATATATATATATATATGTACATATATATATATATATGTACATACATATATATATATGTACATATATATATACATATATATATATATGTACATATATATATACATATATATATATATGTACATATATATATACATATATATATACATATATATATATATATATATATATATATATATATATATATATATATATATATATATATATATATATATATATATATATATATATATATATATATATATATATATATATATATATATATATATATATATATATATATATATATATATATATATATATATATATATATAAGGAAAAAGTATAGAAAAGGTCAGTGTGGAATATACTTAGAAAGACCTGTATTTTTATGGGTCAGATCTGCTAGTATGTGTAAATATATATATATATATATATATATATATATATATATATATATATATATACTCATATAAAATACATTTTATGAATGAAATACCTAAAATAAATAAAAAATATAATAACCAGGTTTTCTGTGATATTTTCTCATATGATCAAGTATAAGATTTCTTGAATTTTCTTCATCAAAATCTTTTGGTTTTATTGGTTTTTCAACTAAATACAATAATTTAAACAAAATAAATAACATAAAATATTTCAATAGTAAGCTTTTCATAAACAGTTCTAAATACTTTTTTATGTTTATAGAAAAAATAAACTTCTCATAAACAAATACTTTTTATGTTTTATTACTAATTGATAAATAGTTTGTTTTTTAGATTTGCATAATTTAATAAAATTACTAAATTAACTTGATAAAAGTAAATTAAACTTAATAAAAACTTTCTAAATTACATTTAATAAAAGTAGATTTCTGAATTAATTTTAAAATTGCATGACTTGAAAAAAATAAAAATAGACTTGAAAAAAATAAAAATAAAAGTAGATATCTGAATTAATTTTATAATTACATGACATGAAAAAAAAATAAAATAATGAATATGTAATTATATCAACATAGTATATATCTTACATACCGCAAAATTACATAAGTTCTACAACTATGTAACTTCAGTCATTTAGGAATAAATAACAAAAATTCATGCACATTTCAATTTTTATAAACTTTTTTTTATCCAATTGATTCAAACATGAGTAATAAAAAAATTTAAAACTTTTTTTAAAGTTTTAAAAATTATGTATATTTAAAAACTGCTGAAATTATTTTCATTGGTTTGTAAAACAAACATTACAATAGAGGAGAATCAATAACTTTAAAAATTTTTCTTTGATGGATGATGAGGAAGTTATAACATTTGAAGATGGCAGATACAGTGATGACATTTGAGAAACTCCACGAAACCTCTTTCAATGAAGGTGATTATAAACAGTGTCAACGAAGCCATAAAAGTACTATTAAACAAACTAGCCAAAAAGAACATACCTAGACTACCACCGACCTGTGTAAAATTTAGGTTAATGCAAGAAGCTTCAATTTTAGGTCAATTTCAAGTTGCAGTAGCAATTCTTGAAAATAATTTGACATAAAAACTCTAATATAGGCAATGTTTGCCTATATTAGAATATAAGATATTGAAATTATACATGTTGAAATCATTATCTAAAATAACCAAACTTAGCACTAATATTACTGTCACCCAGTTTTTTTTTCTTTGATTTTTAATGATTTAGAACTCTTTTTCTTTTAATTCAGTGAAAACTTAAAATAATATAACATCAGTCACCTATGGATTATGGAATAACGCTTCTCTAAACAATAATAGCAACAACTAGCAGAAATATCGCGAAATGTTGCAGAAATGTTGTGAGACAGCAAAAATGTTGTGAAATGTTGATTGTGAAAAATGTGTGTGAATTAATAACAAAAACAAATAAATAACTTGATTGCACAGTGCTAAAATAATTTGTCTGCATATAAAAAAATTTAAATCGCGCATATTATTAAAACTTGAAAGTATTATCAACTTGAAAATGTTATTAAAACTCTGAAAGTAATTTGGTAAAAGCTAAAATGTAGTATTAGTATATTTAAGAGTCTTCTGAATTCAAAAGTCTTCTGAATTCAAAAGTCTTCTGTTGACAAACTTTGCACAACTTTTTTATATATTAGGCTGGCAAAGGTGTATTTATAATACATTGTTTTCAGCTAAAACCTCAGTTTTATGGTTCTGAGGCCAGGTGGTAGTCAGGTTTCCAGAACTCTGTGGTAGCTGTCAGAGAGGCTGATTCCATCAACATCAGTAAAATATCAGAGTACTATCAGTGCAATGTTGTATATGAATGGTGTCCCTGTTAGTACTTTTGATGTGCATTGTCAAGACCATATTTGGAGCCTTTTGTTAAGACTTATGGTTTATTAATCATAGATGAGTATTTGACTTTATGAAAATCCCGGAGATTTTTTTTTTATGAAAATCCCGGAAAATCCCGGGATTTTCATAAAAAATCAATTTTTAATAAAATAAATTATTTTATTAAAAATTGATCGTATTAAATGAAAATAAAAACTTTCGTAAACTTTTAAAACGGAATTTAAATTATTTAAATTTTTACAAAAAGGAGTTTTTTTAATATTCTAATATTCAAATAAGTTAATTTGAATAAATTAAATAGCAAAAAAAAAAAAAAAAAAAAAATTGTTACAAAACTTGATCTTGTAAAAATTTTAACTATAGAAAACATATTTGTTTAAATGCAAAAGTTGTCATTTTTAAAATTTTATGTAAAATTTACAATATTTTTAAACAAATTAATAAAAAAAACATCCGGAAATTTCTGGAAAATTAAAGGAGTTTCAGGTGAATTTCCGGAGTTCCGGGAATTCCCGGAAAAAACTCATCTTTGATTAATAGTAATGAGGCAATTGCTTGGACTATTTAATAGTGTACTGAGTACTATCTGTGCTTTCTTTAACAGATTTAAAATGACTAAAGTTCCAAAAACTGTAAAACACAAAAAACCATTGCCATCATCAAGTCATCTAAATCTATCATTCACTAATATTCGTGGTCTTTGAAGTAACATTTCTTCTGTTGAGTCAAACTGCTTTTTGTGAGACTAATTTGAGTTCAGCTGTCTCATCTTGTAATCTTAGTGTTAAATTGTGATCTTCCTTAAATTTGTAAAGACTCCAATAGTCACATTAGCCTGGGCATTTACATTTGTAAGAACTTGTCCATTTGTAGGGAAACTAGGTTTGAATCTACAGACTATTTTTTTATGTGCCTTTGTTTAGCACCACTTCACTCTTTGTTTAATCACCTTACTTTTTGTTCTATATTGCTCACCTTTATCTTAAGACTGCACTCTTTTCGATGTAACTTTTGACCAAGCCTTATCTCTTTATCCATCAGCCAATACCATTGTTGTTGGTGACTTTAATGCTCATAATACTGAATGACTTGGTTCTAGTGTCAGTGACTCTGCAGGTGTTAAAGCCCACAACTTTTACCTTTCTTAATCTCTAACGCAAATAGTCAACTTTCTAATTTGGCTTCCAGACTATCCGAATCATTTACCTTCTCTACTATACTTATGTCTTGTTCTGATCCTTCTGATATATTCTAAAACAATTTTCTCATTCATCTACATTATCAGAATCCTCTTTTCATCATACCTCTTACAACTTTTTAAAAACATCTTCACTTTCAACAAGGCTGCAAGCAACTGCTATTAGAGAAAAGATGAATGTTATAAAGTAATATAACAATTAACAGACAACTTAAAAGATTGCAAATTATATGAATCAGGAAAAAACAAGAAGGGAGCAAATTCCAAAAAAATTGATGTCCGAGGAAAAAAACTAGATGAATATGAATTTTTGGAGCACTTAGGAACAGTCACAGTAAAAGGACGAAACTTAATTAAATGACAAGCAATATGAGAATGAATTTTAGTAGATGGCACAAGAGATGCTAGCTCTTTAGAGCAGTGCTAGTTATAGTATTTATAGAAAAGAAAAAGAAAAGCAACATTACGACAATGCGACAATTGTTGAAGATTGGCTGCAAAAGCAGATTCCACTATGTTTACAACGCGTTTTTGTACCTTACCTAAAAATACCTAAAAAAAGCATATGGCAACAAAATATTTATAGACATAAAGAATAGAATCCTGAGGAAGAAAGTGGTGAGCACGATAAAGAGATATTTTAGTGGTGAGCGTCCTTAGCAGATATTTTACAATGAATTTGATATATGGTTTCCAATAAAGATCTAAAGTAAGAGAATCCTAGAAGATGAGGGGTAGATGACTCATCAAGTATTCATAATAATACCATTCATAAATAAAGGAAAATCTAGATTATTGCAATAACGATTAGCAATCAGAGAGTATCAGTTTCTTATCAAGTCAAAAATAAATGGTAGTATCATCAGCGAAAAATGCCACCTTAGATGTGAGAATTTCAGAGATATCGTTAATGTAAATTAAAAAAAGTATAGGGCCAAAGATAGAACTTTGAGGAATCCCTGAAGTTACAGGAAACGAAGAAGAGTGCTGTTTATCAAGGAGAACTTTTACTATATATATAGAAGAATTCAATAATCTTTAAGATATAACCTGATACACCTTAAGAAGAAAGCTTATGGATAAAACCAGAATGCCAAACTTTATCAAAGGCTTTAAAAATGTCAAAAGCAATAACCTTAACCTCTCAACATCTATCTATTGTTCGATAAAACCTATCATTTATTACAGTTAACAAATCATCAAGGAGAATTTTTACTACAAAATTTTTTTCGAATATGATATCAGCATTTTTATGTACTTTGATGCAAATTCCAGCCAACTTTTCATTTGTTTAGAAGTTAAAAAAGCTTTATTTTGAACCACTCTATATCTTTATATCCTTGCTCTTTAATACAATTTCTGATTGTTTGAGGAGTCACTGTGATGTTATAATCTTTTTGAATTTTCAAAGCTAATTCAGCTGCCAAAACAAATCTATTTTTCTTCACATAAATGATGACATTAATGATATTTTGATCAATTGCATGTATATATATATATATATATATATATATATATATATATATATATATATATATATATATATATATATATATGTGTATATATATATATATATATATATATATATATATATATATATATATATATATATATATATATATATATATATATATATATATATATATATAAATCAAAATTTAACATTAATTAAATAAAACACCTTCTAAATCAGCAAGTTTAACAAGATTTTCTACGTTTGCAGCTGTTGTACTTTTTAACAATTTTTTCTAAAATTAAAGTCAAATTTTTAAAACATCTAATTGACAAACTTTTGAGTTGAATAATAACATAATAATTATTAAATTTTTTAAAAATAAAACACATAAATATTAAAATTAATATTTATGTGTTTCAATTAATTAAAATTAAAAGAAATATATCCTGTAATAAATAAATAATAACAAACAATTTTAAAAATAAAATATAAAAAGAAAAACAAATTTTTAAAGGACTAGAAATTTTTTTAAATTAGTTCTTATTCTATAAATTTTATTTATATATCAAATACAGTAATTACAGTATTACAGTATTTCATTTATCAAATACATATGCAAACTTCACAGATGTTTCGTGCAATGTAAAAATGGGCATTATTTCACAAGTTTATAAAAATTTTTTTTTTCTATAAACACTTTTATCCCCAAATAAAAAAATTATAAAAGATCTATCTTTCGTTATTAAATAAATATTCAAATTAAATGGAATTTTAGTTCACATTAAATTCACAAAAATATGAAATATTGCTAAAGATTTGGGATCACTTTTCTATTTTTTGCGATTTGTATGGAAAACCTGCCTTGGGCCAACTAAGATTGGCTGACTTTTCTTTATGATAGACTGTTGAAATTCAGAATACATATCCATGAATGTCTAACCTATATGAATCTTATGTAACGCATGTGTTTTTTTCAAAAAAAGTCTGTTTTTAATGCATTTATATTATAAAAATTACCCTTTTTAAATGCGAAACAAGTTATTTTTGATGGATGACATTAAGTTATTAAAATTTCAACCATTTATGCATATTAAAATTATAAAAATATTTTATGTCCTTCTGGCTATCTCAGGAAATATATTTTCAAACTTAGCATATACAAGAAATTTAAGCAATGATGTAACCTTATTTGTCTTATATCTCAAGTTATTTTTAAAACTTGAGATATAAAACATATAAGGTTACATCATCATAAGGTTACATTCCCATAAGGGAAATTATAATGAAACAACAGTTTAGACAAAACAAATTATGAATTAATAAACAAAGTTACGCGGATCTTTTCTCTTCAAATAATCAGATGTTTTAATGATGTTAGATCTATTTTTATCAAGTTTTTTTTATTAGGTGGTCAATTTTTATGTTTTCAAGTGAAAGGGAAAATATTTAAACTATACATTGGATAGAAAAAAAATAGGAAAATAAATATAAGAATTCGAAAACTTCTATCTTTTATTAGGAGGTATTTGACAACCTTCAATTTGTTGACCTTCTCAACTCTATTGTTGGTTTTTGGCCTCTTTTTTTCTGAAGATAAAGGTGGGAAATATACATAATTCTTTATACCTTCTTTTTGTTGAAGATAAAGGTGGGAAACATACATAATTCCATTTTTAAGTTGTCAGTTCGAAATCATCTGGATTTGTGTATGATTCATTTTCATTTTATTTTATATTTCAGAGTTCAGATTTTTGTGAAAATATTGCCTTTATACTTGGGCATTATGCCAACAACATTAAAAGCATTCAGTCGTCAGATTTTCAATTAAATGGCATAAAAAAAATTAAGTTGTTCTTAGGTGGAGATTTTCATTTAATTAATGATGTTCTGGGACATAGGGGTTCAACAACTTTCCTACTTCTACAGACTTAGTCCAGTCAAAATCTCTGCAAAGCCATGCCTCTATGCCATACAATATATGAAAGGGGCTTACAATGCAAACTTTTGTGATGATAGACATGTTGTAAACCTGAGAAATTTAGGTGTGTTTCATCATTTAATTATTTCTTCTGTAGTTTCTCCAATAAAAACTTTAGAAAATGTAGTGCCTACTGACTTGCATATTACATTAGATATTGCATATTGAATATTACATTAGATGTATCGCTTCCTTCATCTTACTTTCTTGGTTCATATAATTTGCAATCTTTTAAGTCATCTGTCAATCGTTATCTTGCTCTACAATCTTCATCTTCTCTCTTCTAGTAACTTCCAAATCTAATTAGTGGTTGCTTGCAGCCTTGTTAAAAGTAAAGATGTTTTAAAAAAAAAAAAGAGTGTTAAAACTGTATAAGTTATATGTAAGAGAATGTAAGACTTTAGATTGTCAGCCTGGTTTGATGTTATCTTATAGTAAAGATGTAAGATTGAGTGAAATGTGGGCTGCTAAAAGTGTTATATATTCTATTACAGCAGAAGCTATATATTTTTTAGGTAAATAATTTTTAGACATTAAAAATCTACAGGCAGGATGCTTAGCAAGTAAAATAATTTTTCTTAATAAGAACGCGCATCCCAAAATTCCAAAACAAGGAACCAGCTTGTACAGGTTCCTTGTTTTTTACAGCTTATTTTTCAGATCAGATTACAAGATACAATTGTAATACTGATTGGGAGAAGTGAGGTATGTGCTTAAGGTGGTTTCATCAAAATTTTGAAATTAATAATGTTCCTAAAAAGAATGTATTGTGTGATATAGAAAACTACAGTTGTTTAGAATGTCAGGTTGAAAAAAGTCTTGATATTTAACAATTGGACAAGTGAGGTTTTATATATTTACTATAAATGATTGCAAATAGTGTGAGGATTATGAATAAAAATAACATAGGATCTCATGATAGGGTTATTTAAAAAATGAAGGTTGATCAATAGTTTACCATAGTAATGTATTTTTAGGTAATAATTGCTAAATATTTTTGAGAAACCATTATAAACTTTGTAGTGTCATTGATTGATGGAACGATTAGGAATAACTTTTTTTTTGCGTATTTAGTGTTTTTAAGTTGCGATTAATTCTTTTCAAGGGAAAATTTTTTTCTTATGATAAAATGACTGAGCTTTTTGTTCACAAATTTATTTTCTTTTAAGTTCATACTTGCTTTCCAAAGGAAGGTATTACTTGTAGAATTCTCATTTTGAATATAACACTTTTTGTTAAGCAAAATAAAACAATTGAGTGACAAGCAGTGAGAATATTTGCATAAAAGTGTAAATAAGGAATTTAAAAAGTTGCAAAAATAAGGAATTTAAAAAGTTGGGATCCGATGGCGATCACAAATAATACCGAATATGTAATGTTTGTTGAATAGTTTTCAAACCAAAGTAAATTTTTATTTCTAATGCCTTAGTGATTCGAAGAAAATTTAATTAGCATAAAAGAAAAACAACATTCCGATACCACCATCGATAAAACCAGTAAATAGCGCCAATATGGCTATAACGAACTAAATAACAATTATGTGGCGACTATTTGAACAGCAGTCACAGTTAGGGATCATGAGAAGAGGTTGCATCTTGTTTTAAATTGTACAGCAAAGCTGATTGTAAACTTCAAGCTGCCAAGGTTAGAAAATTTGTTATGTGTTCTGAGCAAGGTGAAAATTTGTTTTATAAAAAAGATCTTTATCTTGTTTGAGGTCACCAGGTTTTATCTAAATAAATTTAAAAAAACTAGTAAAAAATAAAAGTTTTATAAATGAATTTTAAACTTTCAAGCCGTTATGATCATTTATGTTAGATTGCTTTGTTATAAAAGTTTTTTATTAGATATATTTTACTTTTTTTTAATTTTAGATGCTAATTTGATTATTGGTTTAAAAATTAGTTGGTTCTAACTTACCTTACAGTTAAATAAGCATCACAGTTTGTTGCTGTTAAATCTTGATGTAAATAGAGATCCTTGTTATATAAAAGAATGGAACAGGAAATTATTTTCTGTAAATATGTATAAAGATTAGTTGAAGAACTTATTTAATTAATTAAATATAAAACAATTTGTCTTGAATTATATTGAACTGGGTTTAAAGTATTTTTATTTATTAATGATCATCCTTTTATCATACAATTAATATGCACACAAAAAGTTATAAATGTGAAAATCAATTCACAGAGCTAAGATATCAGAAATATTTCAAAGTTTATAAATATCAATAAAATAGGTTTTTAGATTATTTTTGATAAAAAGTAGCAGGAATATATTAAAATGCAACTTAAATCTTCAAATCTGCATGTTTTTCAAAAAATCTAGTAAGATTTTTATCATTTTGTTGAAAATCAAAATCTTCCTAATTTTATTAGTATTTTTAATCTTTTTACAAAACAAAATTATCACTAATATTTACAAATTACATAAGTTTTAGTGGCGCCTTTTATTAAAATTAACAAGAAGCCATGTATGTCCACCTTAAAACATCCGTGATATCATATGCAAACTTTTTAGAAAATAAAAAAAAAATAAAGTAGTTTGTTCAAAGTAGTTGGCAAACAGAGATCTAATAACCATGATCACTATTTTAAAATTTGAAATTTGTTCATTAAGAACTAGAATTAGTTCATTAGAATATCATAATAAAAAAATTAAAATAACTTGAAAAAAAACTCATTGTTATAATTGTAGAATTAACGTATACAAACAACAAAAAAACAAAACAAAAAAAACAAAAACAAAATTTTTTTTTTATTTAAAAAACTTAGCATTGACTACAATAATTGGGTGGAAAGTGGTTAAACAAATAGAGACTTATGTTTTTCAAAAATCATCTAAATTTTACAAAACCTTTTTGTAATTTTAAAAACTGTAAAAACTCATTTTATTTTTTCTGTTTCAAATATTTTCATAATAAATTTTATTTTAAAGTTTTTTTTAAACTTGAATGAATTTTTCAATTTTTTCAATTTCATGTAAAATTTTTTATAAACCTCAATAAATTTTTAAATATTTGAATTGCATTATAATATATTTTTTATAAAATGGCATTTTTTAATATGCACATTTTTATTACATGATATATTTTTATTTAAATGTTACAAGTAAATTTATAAAATTTAAAACTAAAAGTGTTAAACACAATTTTAAAATAATAATAAATTTTTTTGTTTCTTAAAACATTTCTGTTAAGTAAAAAACTTACACCTTTTGTTTTTTATAACGTTTCCATTGAAGCAAATGTATCATGTAATATTCAATTTCATTTTTATGCTGTTCTACATACATAGCTCTAAAAAAAAGAGAAAAAAAAAGTTTAATATCATCAAGTATGAATTTCTGCTGATTTTATTTTAGGTATGTATGCAATGACTAGAGAAAGCAAAATGAAATTTTAAATAAAAATCAAGAATTAAATTATATTTGAAATGTGAAATAAAAACGAAAGCTGATTAGTAAAAATAACAATTATAACAAAAGTAAACAATATTATGAATGTAGGTTATATTAAAAAAATATATGTATTTAAAAAAAAAAAAAATTAAATGAATAAACAAATTATATGAAAAATAATAAATTGTTCAAACTTAATTGTGGAATATTTTTAATAAAATTTTATGAAGTACAAGAACATTATTTAGAAATACTAATATAACAATAAAAACCGCTAAAAAAAACCTTTCTGACTCCAGTTGTTCTTTTATCTCTAAAATTATTTTTTTTTCATCTGTTTCTTTGTCTGTAGACTCCCTATAAACATTTTATTACCTAGATTTAATGCTCAAAACTTTTTTTACACATTTTATATATAATTATTTATACTTCACTTTAATAAAGTTATAAAACGATGAAGTATTTATTACAAATGACAGTACTGCACAAAAACATAGATGCACATAAAAAATCACTAATTAATTTTAGGAGACAGTAATGTGATTTTAGTTTCTTGGTGTAAGTAACTGTAGGAGACATTAATGTAATTTTAGTTTCTTGGCATAAGTAACTGTAAGAGACATTAATGTGATTTTAGTTTCTTGGCATAAGTAACTGTAGGAGACAGTAATGTGAATTTAGTTTCTTGGTGTAAATAACTGCAGGAGACAGTAATGTGATTTTAGCTTTTTGGTATAAGTAACTTTTGGAGACAGTAATGTGATTTTAGTTTCTTGGCGTAAGTAACTGTAAGAGACAGTATTGTGATTTTAAACATTAATGAATATGAGAATAAAGTTAAAGATCAATGAAAAAACTGTCTAAACCATAGACCTAACTATGTACACAAACGATAGACCTACCAATGTACACATACCATAGACCTAACTATGTACACAACCCATAGACCTAACTATGTACCCAATAAATAACATTATCTTAATTGCCAACTTTAAAATATTATGAAGAAACAGCCTCATACATACAACCTAACTTATTATGCGCACCTCTTTTTATGGTCTTCCCAAAATATATAAACCAATGTACTCAATTATATCAGCCTGTGATGGTCCATCAAACCTGTTATCTCATTTCATTACTCAAATAATAATACAACCTTTTTGCTGAATATTTACCAGCATACCTTATAGACACAAATCATTTCCTTGCCACCTTTGAGCAATAAAAACTTGCCTCACTAGACTTCATGTTCATCACTGCGGATATTACTGGAATTTATGCGGTAGTGGTGTAGTGGTAGAGCGCTCGCTTCATAAACGAGTGGTTCCGAGTTCGATCCTCACCACGTCCCTGGTAGTACCGCGCTCAACTCGTTTCTCCGCGCAGCGGCCTTGCTCGTCAAGGTTCGTGTTTCGGAGTTATAGAGTTGAGAGAGGGTTATAACCACAAATAAGTAGCCTCCTCGTCTGTAGTGGCCTTCTCGGCCTTGAGGAGGTGAATTAAAATTTAAAAAAAAAAAAAAAAAATTTACACAAATATTTACACAAAAAAAGAATCGAAGTTAACCATAGAGAGGATACACATAGACAAGCTTCTATATAAGTGGCTACCATCCAACGATATCACTATGATTATTGATACATTACTTACGAACACTATTTATAGATTCAATGAACAAAATTTTCAACAAAACTAGCATGAGAACACATATGGCTCCACCTTACATCAACATCTTTAATTTTAACTTATTTTTAAATTTTACTTACACATTCAAAAATTAACGCAAAAATAAAAATAAAAATTTAATTTAAATAAACTAATAAAATATTTGACAAAAAATAGATGAAATCCAAATAAGAGACACAATTCAATTTTAATGCGTTCATGTTTATTTGTATTTAAAAGTAAATACTTTATTATTTAAAATCATTATGTTTTTAACTTTGGCACGTTTCTAATATTAATTTTAAGGTTAATGGTACCATTTTACACATGCGTTAAGTCTATACCTTCATGTTAAAAACTGAACCACTGAACCATTTTTTGTTCTTGATTTGCCGTTTATACTTTTTTCTTTTTAACAATTTTAACTAAAACCTTTGATTGGATGCTTGAAAATTGCTTTCATCTCTAAAAATAACTTGGTTTCGATCTTCAACCTGAGTTGTTCTCTTCAACCTGAGTTGTTCAACCATCAACCTGAGTTGTTCTTTTTATTACATTCTACATTTTATCTGATCTGTTACTCAATTCAATGTCCAAACAAAATCATTTAAATCACATTTTTACTTACACTATTATGTGTAATCTTTAATGCCATTGAACTCTGCAGATAAATCTTGCAATTATAAAGTATTTTGTCTTAAAATTAATTTTATAACTTGAAAAGCCTGATCTTTTACAAGCTTTTAGAGAAAATTTTTTTAGAATTTTAATGTTTTACCAGCTGCAACATAACTTTTGAAACTTTTGTGGGGAAATTTAATTTTTTTACTAGTTACAAACAAATTTCTTAATTAAATTCACTATTTTATAGTAACTTTCTCCACTCTTTTTTTTTTATCAGGTCAGGTTATCCTGCTACTTGTAACATATAACCCAGTACAAACTGCTTAATGTCCTGATGCCTTGTAGGATATGCATTTTTAGGCAACGACTAGAAGAAAACGACTCCAACTTAAAATGCTGCCTGCCTTGGGGCTCTTGGTTAAGTAAAGGCTAGAGATAGTGTCTTGATAAAAATACTCATCTTGGGCATAAGTTAAATGCATCCGGCTACTTTCTTGTAGAAGGATATCTAGGCAAAGACTTAAGGGGTAAATAGATTCTATCAGTTGACCAGCCTCGCATCCCTTCTTTATCTATTAGGCTGATGTAGATGTATTTATAATACATTGTTTCTAGTTTAGGATGTTGAATGCTGGATCTTCTTAACTCAATGCATGGATTTTGCTTGTGTCTATGATTTTATGACTAAGCAACTCATTCTACTATCTCCTAATGAGGGTACAGCTCTAAAACTCAGTTTTTTGGTTAGGAGGCTGACTGGTAGTCAGGTTTTCATAACTCTAAAGTAACTTCTAAAAAGGCTGAATCCATCAACCTCTGTAAAATATCAGAGTACTAACAGTGCCATGTTGCGCATGGGTGGTGTCCCTGTTCATAATTTTGGTATGCATTATCGAGGCCACAATTGGAGCCCTTTGTTAAGGCTTAGGGTTTATTAATAGTAATGAGGCAATTGCTTCGGCTATTGAATAGTGTGCCGAGTATTATCTGTGCTTTGATGCAAGTTCTTTAATAAATTTAAAAATGACTAAAGTTCAAAAAACTATAAAACACAAAAAACCATCGTCATCACCAAGTTCTCTAAACCTATCATTCACTAATATTCGTGGCCTTCAAAGTAACTTTTCTTCTATTGAGTCCTATCTCTTGCAAAGTTCACCAGACCTACTGGTTCTTTGTGAAACTAATTTGAGTTTGGCTGTCTCATCTTGTAATCTTAGTGTTGATGGTTATTTTCCTTTAAACGGTAAAGATTCCAATAGTTACATGCTTGAACTGAGCATTTACATTCGTAAGAATTCACTTATTTGTTGCGAAACTAGGTTTGAATCCAACAACTATTCTTTTATGTGCTTTTGTTTAGCACCATTTCACTCTATTGCCTTTCTATTTGTTGTATATACTTCTCCTTCATGTCAAGACTTCACTCTTTTCGATGTTGTTTCTGATCAAATTGACCAAGCCCTTTCTCTTTATCCATCAGCCAATATCGTTGTTGTTGGTGACTTTAAAGCTCATCACACTAAATGGCTTGGCTCTAGAGTCAGTGATTCTGCAAGCATTAAGGCCCACTACTTTTACCTTTCTCAATCTTTAAATCAAATAGTCACTTTTCCAACTTTCTTTCCTGACAATCCTAATCATTTGCCTTCTCTACTCGACTTTTCTTGTTTATGATCCTAGTCAGTGCTCAATTTCTCCATATTCGCCCTTAGATGCTTCTGATCACATTTTGATCTTCCTAAAACTATTATCTTATTCTTCTTCATCATCAGAATCCCCCTATCGTCGTACCTCTTATAACTACCTTAAAGCTGACTAGGACTCTTTCCCTGATAGTAGTGCAATGCGTCATAAACTGAAGATTTAGTGTTGAAACCAATGGTGAAGGCCACTCAATTTCTATTTTTCTTTTAATATTTTCCGAACTATCATTAATTATCAATTTTCTAATAACTTTATTATCTACTCATTTTATTTTATTGTTTTATATTGTACAGTATGTTTTGTTCCGTTACATCAGTGGATTTAGACTTGCTAACTCATAGGCCATAGTTTCATCATTTGATAAGAATGACTAGAACATGATTTATGGTCCCCCTTCCTCCAAATTGTGATATTTTATTCCTCCTTCTAAATAGTCTTTACATTCATTGCATTTGGAAGCTCCACAATGCAGGTCAGATCAGCGTTCGCTCATATGGTTGGATCTTAAATATCACTTCAAGCACATCATTTCAGACAAATACAGGGTTGTAGCTCTTTTGGCTAAAAGTAATGACTTGTGGCCTACAGTGACTAATGCATGCATTTGATCAATTGAAATTCATTCTGTAAATCTTACATCTGGCTCTCATGTGCTAGCCTATAAGCGCAAGAGGTGAGTGTGTTTTTTCTATTCACCTTATTTAAAAGTGGATGAAAATATAACGAGACCATAACCAGACAATCGAACAGAACCTACTAATTCACAACACCATCACACCTGTAGACATAACAGTTTCTAATATCAGTAAACCACAAATTTTTTCTTTGCTGCATATGATCTACATAGAGATTGATTAGAGCTTTATTTGTTTCTCCCCTGCCTACTGAGTATTTATACTTTGTTCTTCTGCTTTACAAGAGACTTACCACTCATTTTATACTTTCTTATGATTTTTTTATTTTTATTTAATGACACAATCTACTATCTAATTTTATTATCATATCTCCCAGGTCTACATAACTGGACAGCTCCGTTGGTCACCTATATGCAATCATTAGGCTGCATAAACTATTATAAATATATTCTTTGTGGCTGGTGACATCTACCAATGTACACCACAACAACAAAATGAACATTAGGCTATCCCACTGGATGTGGTTATGGCACTCAATAACCTAATGACTACACTGACACTTAAGCAAACATTCATTCAGAGCTCCACAATGCACCTCAGATCAGTGCTCGCAGAATATGTGCTTGGATCTAAAATCTCACTTCATAACACATCAGTTCAGTTTTAGCTCTCTTTTGGCTAAAATTGATGACTTGTAGCCTATGGTGGCTAATGTGCGCATTTTATCAATTGAAATTCATTATGTAGATCTTATGTCTGGCTCTGATGTACTAGCTTATAAACGCAAGAAAGTAGTAAATATAACAAGGAAATATTAGAAAAAAAAATTAAACATAACATTTTAAAATGTATAAATTAAAAATTTATTTTGCATTCTATAAAATATAAATATCTATAATTAAATTGATGTCTATAAAAACCTATAATTAAGTTAATTGATGTTCAAGGTGTTAGCCAGCCTAATAGCATCACAATGTTGTATTTCTCAGGGTGTTAGCCACAATGTTATCTTAGTTGGTTTAAATTGTATGAACTTCTGCATAAAATATATATGCAATTTAATATTAATATCATATTAATGTCATTTTCTTATTTTTTTCAATAAAAGTGTTGTTTTTTATTTATTTTAATTTTTATTTACTTTTTTAAATTTTTATTTTAGGTGCTCCTAGAAGGCCTATCAGTCTTGTCACAGAGAACAACAGATGAGCATTTAAGTTCACTTGTCCTTCTTTACCAATGGCGCTTAATATGCCCAGTACTTGCTTCAAACCAAGGATCTCTTGCTTCTAAAGCAAGTGCTCTAACTACTGTGCCACCCCCGCTTAATACATAATGCAATAAAATTTAATTTATATAGCATTCAGCTTGACCAAAGTTTTTATTAAACTAAAAAAAGTTTTACTCATAAGATAAAAAAATCTCATTCATTCATTCATTCTTGTGTAACAATCACACAAGAATGAATAGAATTCAATAAATTAAATGTGACAATAAATGTTCTCCAATTATGGAAAATATAATTATAACAAGAACTACAAAATTAAATTATAAAAAATGCAATTGAAAAATAAACAACATTGAAAATGTTATTTATTTTAACAATAATTTTTTTTTAGTTTTTACTGCAATCAACAATATTTTTACTTTTTAGTTTTTCCTAATACTTACATTTAATAACAATAAAGAAAATTCACTGGGATGGAGGAGGGAGATAGCAGTAATATACAATCCAATATTATAAAAACATATAGAAACGTATAAAATGTATATAACTTTTTCCTGGCTAACACCATGTTAATTGAATTAATAATTAGTAGTACTAATTTTATATGAATTTTATACGCTAAAACATACTTTTGTGTAAAATTTTCGCGCTGTTATGCTTCTCACAAATATACGGCCTCATTCACACATTATAACACAAATCTCAATAAATATACAAGGATAAGGTAAAAAAAGATTATGAACAAAAGTATATAATAAAGAACAAATATTTGATATACTGATTTTAGAAGCTGTTGATGTCTACAGGTGATGGTGTAGTGCATTAGTATGTACCGCTTGGTCGTCTAGTATGGTCTCGTTATGTCTTTGTTCACTTTCAAATCAGAAAGCTAAACACACTCACTCCTTGCGCTTATGGGCTAGCACATCAGAGCCAGACATAAGACCTACAGATCATATTTCAATTGAATGAATACACACATTAGTCACCATAGGCCACAAGCCATCACTCTTAGCCAAAAGAGCTACTGCCCTGTGCTGGTGTGGAATGATGGAGTGAGATTTTATGAGATTTTATTTTATTTTCTATAAAGTGAGATTTTAGATCCGAGCACATAGTCAGCGAGTGCTGATCCGAGTGGAGCTTCCGACTGAACGTGTCCGTGAGTGTCAGCGTAGTCATTAGGTTATTGAACGCTGTAACCACATCCAGCGGGATAGCCTAATGTATGTTTTGTCGTTGTGGTGTACATTGGAAAAATTTGGGGCTCACCAGCCACAAAGAATAAATTTTTTTGCTTATGCGACACAATAATCGCAAAAAGTGACCAACGGAGCCGTCCAGTTACGTAGACCTGGGAGATGTGAAAATAAAAACAGATCGAAGATGATGTCATTTAGGTAAAAAAATATAAATTAATGTAAAGACTATTTAGTAGGAGGAGTAAAAGTTAGCAACTCAGGAAAAGAGGAACCAAAACTCACACTCTAGTCATCTTTAAGCAAATAATAAAACAACGATCTATGAGCAAACAAGTCAATAAAAATCTGCTGGTTTATTAATGGTATTCATAACTAAAATAATCGCACCATACAAATGTCTAATAAATGTGGTACTATATATGTTCTAAACTCTAGATAAAAAATTGAGAACTGATAATCACCTGTGTAACATAAAAATATATAAATGTCGTTAATGTAACAAATTCATAATAAAAAGCTCAAAAAACGCAAAAACAAATGGGTGTAAGAGGTCAAAAAATGTTGGTGCTATAATAACCAATTAGAATTAAGTAGTGGATAATTGGTGATCCCCCTTCTCAGGAATGCACTGCAATCACCAATGAACGTTTCGGAGAGCCTGAGACCTGCACTAACGCCAATCATCAGGGGCGTGTCCTTGCAACAGATCTCACCGCCTGCACTCTACGTCATGCTAGTCAATATTGCAATATAATAGGACTACACTACAAAAGCCAAAAAACCCAATCCATATCCCAGTTTTTGAAAACAGCTCTAACATTCTTAGAGATCTCGTGAGGGTGGTGAGGGATGCACGTGGTGTAACCATAAACAGATATGTAAACACATATAAATATATACCCTTACATTAGAAGAAACAAACTTGTACACATGTACGTATGCGCGTGTATAAATAAACAATTATAATGTGTAGAAATAACACAAAGCGAATAGAAAACAGTAATTAATAATTAATAGTAACTTACTGTTTCTTTTATGGCTGAAATATGTATTATAAATATAATAAGTAAATACCAATCATAAGCATTAATACTAAGTTAAGATGTTTTATGGTTAGTACGAAAGTAGTTATACAAAAGTATGATAAAAAATGTGATAACTCCAATAGTATGTTCTCATATAAATCTTGCCTGGTAAGTAGAGACAATAGCTATCACACAAAACAGACTCAGAGTAATTAAACATCGATTAGCCAGAGATAAAAAAAAATATACAAACATTAAATAAGTAGGCAGAAAATAATGAGGAAATAAAAAGATAAGACAATAAATGCGATTTTTAACTAATAGCTTATAACCATTAAAAAATGTAACGTTAAAAAACTATATTGTTGACAAAACGACCAAAGGAACGTCAGTGAAGACTGAAAAAAATTTATTATGATAGTATACTAATATTTTACAAAGTCCAAATAATTAAATTTTATCAAAAAAAATCAAAGAATGTATATAGGAAGTATCAAAGTATGTATCAAGGAAGTATCGAAGTATGCAGCTCATTTTAGGGACAATTTTAACAATTCTACTTACTTCATAATTTTTAACATAGTTGGAGTATTAGTATATCCTTGTGTTTCACGAAGTTTTTTTAATGTTTGCCATGTCTCTATTATGTTAATTAACAATTGTCTATCTCGCACTTCCTCGCTTCTTTTTTTTTTAAACAGCTCACAAATTTCACATTGAATGCTGTGAATGCGATTATTATTTTTTTCTATAATTTTTTCAACAATTTCATTTTGAATTTCAGCTTTTAATTGGTCCTTTGATGCACATAATGCTTCTAACTAAAAAATAAATTATATATATATATATATATTAGCCCTTGGAATTAGGGTCAGCATTCAGCAATGTCGGCCTAGCTGCCAACCTTAAAGTGTTTAAGGGTAGCAAAAAATAACTGAGCTGATGCTAATCTCTAAATAGTATGAGGTCAGCAATTTACTGTTGACCTCATTTTTCTTAATTTCGAGGGTTGATATATACATATATCAACTCTCGAAATTAAGAAAAATGTATACATTAGTGTATACATTTTTCTTAATTTTGTTTTTCAATTAGTTTCATTTTTCAATAGTGTATACATTATTCAACTTTTTTTGGTTTCTTTATTCCATACAATTTTCAGGAAAAGAATAAAAAAACAAAAAATAATAAAAAAAAAAAGTTGCTATCCCAACCCAAACCCTTAGTCAATGTAGCAGCACTCCTTGCATGTTCTACTTATTTAGTTAGTCGTGTATGTACTAAAGCCCAGGCAAGAGGCTATATCTAAAAATGCAATATAAGATAAAAAAATAATAAAAAGTCAATATAATAAAACTTTCTCTACAAAATAAACGCACATAAATAAGAACATTTGATAAAGTTTAAAGAAATAAATATTCTCTCGAAGATTTTATAAATATACAAAATTTTTTTTTTTTTTAAAATATAAAAAAACACTATAATAAACTCCATAAGCAAATTAACAAAATATTATTAAAATTTATCTATAAATAAATACTACTTGGCAATACATGTCTTCTTATTGATGTCTGATAAAGACATGCACTTTTTGCTTAGTCTTTGCATATTCTGAATTCCATTCAAATAAACATTTGCCAAACACCTGAAAAGATTTTTTGACGATGAAACTAAATCATTAAATATGTTTATTGTAGACAGAATGTTTAAAAGTTATTCTACAACATCCTCTGTGTTTAGTTTTTTTTCACAAAGCATAAACCAATTTTAACTAGCTGATGCATACACTCATGAGAAACTGTCGAATATCCCCTTGAAACCATTTCAATGAAATCTTTAGCTTCATTTATTTGTATAGGTTTAACCGTTGCATAAACTAGTTCACCTTCACATTTTTTTTCTAAAATGAACTCTGCTGCCTATGTGACAGGGTACATCGGCAGCAGAGTTCATTTTCAGAAAGACTCACATAAATGCATATTTCAATTAAGGTCACATCTTTAAAACTAATAGGACCTTCATACGTATAACCTTTTTCATATGTATAACCTTTTTCATTGGGTTGACCTACTTCTACTGATTCTAAAAACATTGCAGCAAGTTGAGCTAAATGCTTTGAAAGTAGAGAAAACATCACCTGCTGTCATAAAAGTATTTGCCACTGTTGATTGTCTATAAACAGAAAACTCTCTATAAACCACTAAGCAAAACATAATCAAAACTGACTAAAAATACCTTGCAGACAGCTATCAACCATTCAGTGGTTTGCACAAAGACTTTACAGATTTAAACTGTTCTAAAAATAATTGCAGATTATTTGAATTTTTATCTTGCACAGAGCGGTAGTGTTCACTTCTAATATTCTGCCCTTTCACAGAAACATAAACTTCCACCAACTTAAAACCTGTTGAATAAAAGCTTCAGAGTAGTTTTAATTTGAAAGCAGCTACTACTTTCTCATTAAATATTCTTAAAACATTGCACATATTTGGTCTAAAAAGATAAACAGCAACATGGAATACAGGAACTAATTTCAAAATGTTATTTTTTTCATATTGATTAGTGTTGTTATCGATTTCAACTAAGTCGACTAGTCAAAAGTCAAAATTAGTTGACTAAAAAAAATGAATAGTTGATTTAATTGACAATAGACTTCCTGCTAAACAACTAAAAGTCGATTTAGTTGAGTGAAAATTTTAAAATCCTTTTATCTTTTTATTCGATTTAACTTTCGAATCTTTTATTTTTGTTTGTTCGTTTAAAAGCAAAAACATGTACTATTATAACTAGAGAAAAAAAGATATAAAAAACTATCTTGTTTAGCCGAATACTGGATATTTAGCTAGATGCTTAGCCAAAACGCCAAATTTGGCTGCTGAATATTTAGTGACACTTTCCTATTTTGAGGGTTTTAAACTGGTTCATTTTAGTGTATATTGTGGGTATACTGGCAAAAGACATTAAGTCAAAAATTGGTAGTTTTTATTTAATGCAGTTCTGTAAAACTTGGAACACAGTAATTTCATAAATTTCAAGTGTGTCTAATAGCGCTTTTATTATTATTATTATTATTATTATTATTATTATTATTATTATTATTATTATTATTATTATTATTATTATTATTATATATATATATATATATATATATATATATATATATATATATATATATATATATATATATATATATATACATATATATATATATATATACATATATATATATATATATATATATATATATATATATATATATATATATATATACATATATATATATATATATACATATATATATATATATATATATATATATATATATATATATATATATATATATATATATATATATATATATATATATATATATATATATATATATATACACATATATATATATACATATATATATAAGTTTAACAAAATTATTGTCCAATAATTACTATTTAATCGTTACAATTAATTATGTTACCCTGTTGTTAATTTGCTCTTTAAACCCACTTTTCTCTCGAAGTATAAACTGGTTATAAAGTTGAATCAATTTAGATTCCAATACATGCTCCAAACTAAACAAAGGTTGATGTGAAAACTTTATCATTGAGACATCAATATCGATTTGATAATAGTGTAAGCCTAGAAAAAAATGAAACATCTGTTTAATTTGATACATTTATCAGTTTAAAAAATTAAAGTTTAACATTATTACCTTTTTCATCGATATATTGAGAGTTAAACGTGGTGGACTCAGCCTAGAGTTAAAATAAAAAATTAATAAAAAAATAACAATTATGTATTTATATATTACATATATGTGTGTATATATATATATATATATATATATATATATATATATATATATATATATATATATATATATATATATATATATATATACATACATATATATTTATATATAAAAGTATGTTTAGATAAGCACTGGGGTGTCACACTGAAATAGCCTGCTTCTGTAGGCTTTAGTACATACATTGACTATCTTACAGCCTACATCCACAAAGGAGTGCCGCTACATCGAGTGAGGGTTTCAGATGGTTTTTTTTTTGTATGCTAAAAAGATAACCAAAACTAAAAATCAATTGCTGATCAATATATGCAATAGTAGTTTTTAGGGGTCCTTTAAATCTCTTAAACATCAGACAGGTCCCTAATATTATCAACAAAAGTTCTTCAAAAGTATATTATGTTGGGTCTTTATTATTTTATAAAAAGTATTCTTATTTGATTGCCAAAAAAAATACATTTTTAACTAAAAATAAATATGCATTTTTACAAAAAAATTTTGCTTATTTTGAGACCGAACATGATATACTTTTGAAGAACTTTTTTGATGATTATATTAGGGACCCATCTGATGTTTAAGGGACTTGAGAGATTCCTAAAAATATTTTTTTTTTCAAAAATTTTTAAATTCTTATACTATTTTATTTAATTTTTTGGTCTTAATTTATTTGTCTTAATTTAGTCTTAAGCTGATGGTTTTTTCAATTTTTTTGAAAATTTTTTTATGGGTAAAAAATTACACAGCAAATTTATTGCAAAAATTTTCTTAAATTTGTATTTAAGAAAATTTTTTAGAAGATCCGGTAAAAATACTTAAATTTGTATTTAAGAAAATTTTTTAGAAGATCCGGTAAAAATACTTAAATTTGTACTTAAGAAAATTTTTTAGAAGATCCGGTAAAAATAAAAGATGAAAAGAAATCTCCTGAGTTCCGAAAAATACATTTGGAAATAAATAATCCCTGTATATTAAACTAAATTTCTAGAGCCTAAAATGAATGTGTTTTAAAATCTATTTTTTAATTTTTATTTTTAGCCATTATTATTATTGTTTCTTAATTATGAGAAGTTGCTACCTATGCATAATTATTAAAAGTTGCAACCTATGCATGATTATTAGAAGTTGCAACCTATGCATGATTATTAGAAGTAGCTACCTATGCATGATTATTAGAAGTTGCAACCTATGCATGATTATTAGAAGTTGCAACTTATGCATGATTATTTGAAGTTCCAACCTACGCATGATTATTATAAGTTTCTACCTATGCATGATTATTTGAAGTTGTTACTTATGCATGATTATTAGAAATTGCTACCTATGCATGATTATTAGAAGTTGCAACCTATGCATGATTATTTGTCAATAATACTATTAAAAAAATAAACATTGAAAAATATGTCAACCCAAAACAAGATTTAATAAATTGTTTTAAATACAAAATCATGAACTTGCATTTAATAAAAACGAAAACAAAGCAAATTTCAAACAAAGCAAATTTCAACAGACAAAAATTTTGTTTCATGTTGCAGTAAATAGGTGCACTATAACTAACCAAATATATAAAGTACCAAAATTGAAGAAACGGTATAAAAAAGAGTTGTAAATGCAATGAAAATAACTTGAAAATTAGTAAAAGTAGAAGTAACATACAATAGTAATAAAAAGTAGAAGTAATAAAAAAAGTTGGTGAAGAACAATAAACAGAATAAACAACTCACAAAACCTAAACTACTAAAGTAACTAAGAAAACAAAAATTAACTTTAAAAAGCAGTAACTACAATTGGATTATTAATCTAAAAAAAATTGTTTGATTAAAAAATCAACAAAATATGAACAGCCCTTGTTTGAATGATAAGCACATAATTTTAATATGAACTATGTTAAAACTATTATCTGTGGAATTATCCACAATTATATGTTGAATAATTTATTTCATTAGATTTAAAACTAAAGTACCTTCCCCCATTGAAGATTTAAGAGAGGATTAATTTCATCTTCATCTGTTATAGTTTCACGTACAAGACTCTCTTTTAAAGGGTTAGCTAATCTTTTCAAGCTTCCATCTTCATTAAACCAACTTTTGTTCTAATAAACATAATATTAAATTGGCAATTTAATCAATAATAATAACTTCAAATTTACATTTGCTATGAACTATTTCTAAACTACATTAAAAATGTAAAAAATATTTTTAATTTTGCTAGCTAATCTACTCAACAAATATTTTGAAAAACATTTTTAATTAAATATGAAGAATAAATTCCTTTCACAGTTAAATTTAATAAAATTAACTTAAAAATGAAACAAATTTGTAGTTCCAAATAACATCAGCTTTAAAATAATAATCAAATGAACTATAAAAATTTTAATCAAAACAATGCGATAAAATACATTAATTTTCCCTGAAAATTGTGCTGGCGGTTTTTGTTGTTTTAACATTAATTATTTTGACAACTTTTAGTTAATAGTTAATACAATTCTTTAATAATTTAGTTAATACAAACTCAAGTTCGGTTCAGATCAGTAAAAAAAAACTGTCTAAAAATGGCTGACTGTTTTAAACTATGCACTAATAAACCTTTATCATGCCTACAAATGGACTCAAAATTAGCTTTTTCTATTTTAGAATATCATATGTGTACCATAATAACAAGAACATTTTGTAATATATAAATGGTAAGCAGTTGAGTCACACACTAAAAAAAATCTTGGTGTTTTTCAGTACAAATCCATGGTGGAAAAACCAAGCCACCACTACTACTAACAAAGCCAATGTTCAGTTGTGTCAAGAAATGTTTTTCTAGTTTTGACCATAAGTTACTTTGATCTCTTTATTTGACTTTTTTTGCCAATTACTAGAGTTTACAGCTCCTGTTTCTAAAATCCATTACTAGAGTTTACAGCTCCTGTTTCTAAAATCCATTACTAGAGTTTACAGCTCCTGTTTGAGAGTTTATAACTCCTGTTTGAGATTTTACAGCTCCTGTTTGGGCTCTGTTTCTAAAATCTGATTGTAACAGTATCAAAAAAATCCAGCACAAAGTCATCTAGTAGCATTAACCAGAAACCTTTTGCAAGAAGACTCAAAATATTTGAGGTAACTTAGTGAAAAGAAGACAAAAAGGATATATACTACAAGCAAATAAAATTTTGCATGATTTTGTGCACACACTCACATGTTATATATATAACAATGTGAGTGTGTGTATATATACATATATATACTACACTTTTGAATACACTATACATTTTTAAAAACATTGAACATTCTTATGTAGAATACACTAACTTAAATATACACAATTAAATGTTAATTGTGTATATTTAAGTTAGTGTAAAGAATACACAATTAAATGTTAATATTCATTAACATTTAATTGTGATTTCAATAATAAAATTTAATATTTTGCATAATAATTTTTATTTAATTATTTTTGAATTGATTTAACTATTTAGAATTGATGAAATAGACTTTTACTTATCACTGCCTGATCTGACATAAAAAGAATGCCCTTATAAATGGTGGGGAATTAACAAAGAAACATGTATAAAGAAACGCTATATTAACAATAAAATTTTAGATCTCTCATACTTGGCAAGAAAATTTTTAGGAACTCCCTTTCTTCTGTGTTTAGTGAAAGATTATTTAGCACTGGGTAAAACACCTACAAATCAATGCAAATTGAAAAATTTTAGGAGAAATAAAAATAATAGATTTAAAGCTGATTATATTTAACACATTCTCTTTATAACACATCTCTTTGCATAACATTACATAACATAACATTACATAAGCTTATATTTATTTTTAACATAAAGCAATTTGTTTTCTTATATTTTGAGTATATTATACTTTATATGTATACAATTTTTTTTTCAAATTTACATTTATTGATTTTAAAATTCTCTTCTTGTTTGAATCCATAGGTCATATAATTGCTGTTCTAAATTGTAAGAAGACACAAAATAAAAGTGGGGAGACCCTGATAAAAAAAACAGTTCAAAAAATATTTTAAAAGGTTTAGTGAATGCAGATATGCCTATAGAATAACTTAGGTTTATACATGCATTTACTTTTATGGCATAGTTATATGCTTGCATACACTAGAATAAATATAGAAACTAAACTAAATATAAAAACACAAAAATAAAAAACTTAATGTTCTCAAAACAATCGCTATCAACCAATAGTTACAAAGGTCAATGCCGATGCATCAGCTAAATGGCAGATGCATCGGTGTAAAATATATATATATATATATATATATATATATATATATATATATATATATATATATATATATATATATATATATATGCACAAACTAATGTATTTATTTATTATATTATTTAATAACAATGATTTACCTTATTATTTAAAAACTCAGGTATTTTTAATAGCAGAAAAAAAAAAAAATACTACTTTTAACAATTAGAGATAAAAATTCTTTTACATTAATAAATGTTGATATCTAATATTTTCATTTTTGTTTTTTAATTATTTAATCTTAAAGAAAATATTGTATTAACATTTTTAGGTATATTTATTATATATTTTATTATTTTGTATATAATTTAGTTAAAAAATTTTAGTGATTTAGAATAAAACCAAAAGTGAACATAATTACACATCAGCAATGTAAAAATAAAAAATATTTTACATAATATAATATAAACAAATAAAAATATGAAGTCCATAACTTTTATAGACTAAAATAAAACAAAGACTTAAAATTACATCTTTATCACTCAAGAGAATGCGATTTTCCATCCTATATAATGTTGACAAAGGTACATTTGGTGCAACTCCAACATAAAAACCCTCAGACTGTAAATTTCTTGGAATGCCTCCTTTTATAAGTTTAGCTTCTTGGCTCGCTTAAAAATAATACAGAGTATTATTTATAACAAATAAAAAATATAAAAAAACTCTTAAAAAAAAAAAAGTTAAATAATAATTTAAGATTAATAATATAAGCATAATAACGACTAATAATAAGATAATTTTAATAGAATTACAGATTATAATAATACAAACTACAATTTTAAAAAAATGTTAAAAAATGTTAGCTTATGTTAAAAATGTTAGCTAATGTTAAAAAATGTAATTAATTTACTAGGAATACTGGAAGGAAAATGATACATTCCTTCTTCTAATAACAATCTATCTTTTGTATCCTGATAAACAGGTTTAGCATTTAAAATTAAAGAGCTATCCTCAATGTCAATGGCTACTTCACCAAATGTAGGCTTAAAAAAAAACATTTTATTTTATAATATCAAAAAATTAATGTTAAAGATATAACCAGTAATTTGTATTAAGGAACTAACTAGTGTTTCTTCCTTTTTCTCCACTTCTCCATCTATCTCTCCAATAAAAAACTGTAAAGCAACATCTGCACTTACATAACCCTAAATAAAGTTATATAAAGTTATATAAGCATAACCCTGAATTAAAAAATATTTGCATTGCGTTATGATTACTAAAAAATATTTGCATTGCTTTATGATTACTAAAAAATATTTGCATCGCGTTATGATTACTAAAAAATATTTGCATTTATGCGTTATGATTACTAAAAAATATTTGCATTGCTTTATGATTACTAAAAAATATTTGCATTGTGTTATGATTACTAAAAAATATTTGCATTGTGTTATGATTACTAAAAAATTTTGCATTGTGTTATGATTACTAAAAAATATTTGCATTGCGTTATAATTACTAAAAAATATTTGCATTGTGTTATGATTACTAAAAAATATTTGCATTGTGTTATGATTACTAAAAAATATTTGCATTGTGCTATGATTACTAAAAAAATATTTGCATTGTGTTATGATTACTAAAAAATTTTGCATTGTGTTATGATTACTAAAAAATATTTGCATTGCGTTATAATTACTAAAAAATATTTGCATTGTGTTATGATTACTAAAAAATATTTGCATTGTGTTATGATTACTAAAAAATATTTGCATTGTGCTATGATTACTAAAAAAATATTTGCATTGCGTTATGATTACTAAAAAATATTTGATTAGCAATATAATTACTAAAAAATATTTGATTAGCGATATGATTACTAAAAAATATTTGATTAGCGATATTAGTTGCTAGTCAAATATTTTAAATGACAATTTGCATTCAATCAAAGTCAAGCTCGCAAAATGCTGTACTACCTTTAGAGTTTTTTCAAACAATACTTGATTCCTCCACATAACTTATAAACATTTTTAGCTTCCTATTTTCTCAAAAGACGTAATTGTTTTTGGATATTGTTAGTTCATTATAAACTGTTTTGCTCATGATTACCTGTGATTGTAATTGAAGTTTGTCTTGTAGTATCAGCGCACATTACTTGAATGTGATGTGATGCTTGAAATTGTGTATGATACTTGTAGGATCACACACATTCATAGTTTGTTTTTAATAAACTATAAATGTCGATATGAAATTGTGTACGATACTTGTAGTATCATGCACATTCATAGTTTATTTTTAATAAACTATGGTTCAAATTTTTTGACTGCTTTTCTAATGATTGCTTTTGCACTGTTCTCTAAATCGTCCGCCAGGTTGAAACTCTCCCCCACTCCTGATTTTTTTTCATTTAATTAATGAATTAGTAGACAAAATTTAAGTTGTCAGAAAAATCTAAACTAAGTGCTAAGTAAATATATTTTTAAAATTAAAACTTACAATTTTTTTCTTTTTTCCTTCCTAAGTTTAATTAAAGTCAGCCATTATGGTAGTCAAAATAAGCCATCAACATGTAATTTTATTTACAAAAAATAAATGTAACAAATAAATATATAACACAAATTTTATTAATGCTACTGATTGTTTAAATTAAAATTCACTACAACAGATTTTAGCTTTTCTCCATAATTTTTGTGTCCTATAGTTCTTTTATAGTTCACCCAAGTTTTTTTAAATTTGTGGTGAACAGCTTCGTCATATTGCTCTGCGTAGTTTCTTAAGCCAATATTATTGTGTTCTATAAAAGGTATATGAATATGACTAAAATATGTATTTTCCAGGAAACTTTTAAATCATAGACAAAAATATCTTTTGCATATAATTGGAGACTAAAAAAAGAACATTTGATGTCTTCAATGTTAACAGAAATATTTGCACCCATTTCTAAGCCAAACACTGCTGATTTCACTAATGAAAACTTACACAAATAATTAATTATTGGTAAAATATCGATTGTTGCAGTTAAAGTTTACATCCCTCTCCAAAACATCTAACAAGGACACAAATTTATTAGAAATGTTTTTATCTAAACCTACTCTATGGTATCCTCTCATTAACATGTAATTTGTTTTCAACCAATTTTGAAAAGCTGGCCAAACACATAAAAGCATGGTACAAAGTTTATCCAAAACTCCAGTCATAATGTGGAGCTCAGATGGAGGAACAATGTGTTCAAGAAATGTTTCTCAATGTTCTTTTAAGTATATCAAACGAGGATTTGAAACATTTTTGTATTACAGCATTTTTATATTTCTTTTTTTCCATCACAGACATTGATAATAACATATGTTTATGGAATCCAATGTTCTTAGTTTCCCTGCTTCGAGGGAGCATTCTCCTTTACAATACAGACAAGCATATTTGTAAGAATAGTTTGAAAGTCCAAAAACACTGTTTGCATATTTTAAATCAAACGCTAAACTAACATTTACTTCTTTAACTTTCAAAGGTGCCAATAATTTTTGGAGATTTATGAAGCCATTATCCTCTGATACCATTTTCAAGGTATCACACCTATCCAAGTGATTCAATAATATAAATGATGTTGCTATTTTTGCAAAAATCATGAAACTCCACTACCTAAAATTAATAGCGAGAAATTTAAATTTTTTTTTAGTAACATTGAATCAAATTGTAATGTTACATCAAACTTCAATTAATTTTATTTAAATTATAAAATCATAGTATTGATATACTAAGATTTGAATAGCGAAGCCCACAGATTTTCTCATTCACATTTGAAAAATTCAATCTAGCTCAACATCTGTCTGGATACATAGTAGCGAAGAGGTTCTCCTAATAGTATTTCTATTTATCTAAAATACAAAAGTGCTTCATACACTAAATCAAAGCTAATTTGTTTATGCATTAAAACTATGTATATATGTATGTATTTATATTTGTATGTATGTATGTATGTATGTATGTATGTATGTATGTATGTATGTATGTATGTATGTATGTATGTATGTATGTATGTATATATATATATATATATATATATATATATATATATACATATAAGTAATAATTTAAATAATTTTAAATAATTTTCAAAATTTTTATTACTTGCAGTGTTTCTGAGGCACATCGTTGTGGTTCAAATCCTTACACTTGCTTATTTTTTAATTTTTTTTTATCTTTTTTAAATTTTAAAAATAAAACATTTTTGAAGTTTTATAGATATTAACAAATATATAACAAACAAAAGGGAGAGAATTTTTAAAAAAGCTCAAAATTTTTAGAAACATAATGTTTACCATGATAGAGATATTTATGTTGTTAATGTACTCAGGTAATTAGTCAATTAATATAATATTATTATATAATTGTTAGAAAGTTAACTATATAGTTGTATAACCTATTTTCAAATAGTTAAAAATCTTCTTTGCTTAAACTGTTTTGTTTTGAATTTTTGTATTTGCGTTATTGTGTTTAAAAAAATTGACTAGATGAAACATATTATCTCATCTCAGTCTCAAGTGGAAAACTTAAGACTTCTATTTTAGATTTGTCATGACTCTACCTTCTCTTGATAATTTCTGATTGTCTTCTTCTTAGTTCTGCCATTTGTGTAGTGCTAAGTACAAATGTCTATAGGTGTAAACATCTTTAACATAAGTTTAGTTTGCAGGCGTATTTGGAACAATCATGTATAGTATATGTATAATATAAAAAGACTTAATTTTATTTTACTAATTATAAGTCTTTTTTACTATATATATATTTTTGTTTTAAATATATTTGGCAAGATTGAAAAAATTCAAAAATTAGAACCCTCCACAACAACATTAATGTCAGTGCTCTAAACCACTATTTTAGCTATCAAAGACATTTAAGAGAAAAAATATATATTAAAGTAAACAAGAAGTATAGAAATTATCAGTGTGAAATAGATAAGTATAGAAATGGTCATTTTGGTAAAAATTATTTTTAAGGTCCGAACAGCTAGGATATATATAAAAGAAAAAAGTAAAGAAAAGAGTGTTAAAGACACCAATCAACAAAAATAGGGTTAGGAATAGCATATATTAGTTGCATCAAAACATTTTAGTTGAACTTTTATGGATAAATTGATAGTGTAAAAATAATGTATGGCAAGGAAATGGAAGAGCCTTTCATAACCCCTAATAATATTAATTTCATGGGTTTTATATTTTTTAATTTCTGGCCTAAAATAATTAATGAAGAGGAAGTGGAACTTCTTGACAATACCCCTGATATTATAAATATATATTATTAAAATATGGTGCAAGAAACAAAATAGCTATTTTAAGCGATTTTTCAGCTAAAGAAGTTTCAATTAATTCTTTAAAGGGATCCCCAAGTGCTCAGATAAGTTGTGTTCATATCATAGATAAACAATCGAAAATAAGATAAAGATTAATAAAACTTTCCAAAACAAATTATTGAATGAGATATTTATAAAAAAACTTTTTAATTTTTAACGCCATTTTGTTTCTGGCGAAGGAAAGTTCCAGCTCTTTGACTATTTTTATTTTTTAAATCAGGTCTAATTAATGCACTTATATTTGATGTCAATGCAAAGTTTCTTTCAAAAAACTTAAATTCCAGGGGTTTCCCCTTTAGCAGTTAAACGAAATTGTAATATTCAAGTTTTTATTATAAATTTTATATATATCTGAAAAATATATATTAGATCATTTTAGAAACCATACCTTGAATAAGACATAAAATATTATAAGCTAAGTTAAAAATATATATAATATCATTTTTAAAACGGTTTCTTCAATTTTTTAAAAAAAATATAGATTTTTAAACTTTCAAAATTTAATCATGTTGGATTATATTGTACTTAGTGGTGTATATAAAAAAATTAATTACTTATTTTCTTAGGAAAATATTCATCTTGTGTATTTTAAAGTTCTCCTCACCTAAATTACTATTTTTATAAGGCTAACTCAAACACTTAAGGATACGTTAAACAAAAAACAAAAACATGCTACAGCAAACGATTTTTTTATCACTAAATATAAAGGGGAAAACCCAATCTGATTGTATAAAACTGAACTGAGTTTAAAAAAATTTGCAGTGAGCGAAAACATTTATTACTGAAACCAGATGTTTTATAACGGAAAAAACTATGCGGATTTGTAAGGTTAATATCAACCTTATAACCGGAAGTATAATGGCAAAATAACAAATGCTTTTGTTAATATCTCATTCAATAATTTGTTATAGAAAGTTTAATTAAACTTATAATATTATTTTAAACTTATTTTCTAATGATTATCTATGATATGAACACAATTTGTCTCGGCACTTGGGGATCCCTTTAAAGCGTTTAGAGGGGAACTTGTGTAGTAACTAAACATCAGGTAAAAACTAAAACTATTTGTTTAATTTAAACTTGTGATAAATTTTAAACTTTTTTTTTTTTGATAACATTTGATTGGTTAATCAAGATCTCTTTGTGATTGCACATAACAAGAGTCTTTATGTGCAACTATATTCCTATTCGAACAGATTTTCAATTTAAAAAAATTTTATACAGAATTTTAAATTTAAATTAAGGTTAATTGCTATCTAAAGAGTCATAATCATTAGTGATACTAATTGAGAATAGAAACTCTGAAGAAACTGGAAATGACTGAGTTATTTTTTCCAATTTCAGAAACTCTTTAACTAATATGATAAAAACCATGAATCACTATTTAAGATGATAAGAACAGCTTATGAAATGGCACCAAAACCTAACATGCCCCATAACCATTTTGAAACACTCATCAAATGCCAAAGAATAAATGGTGTATTTATTTTAAATGGAAAAAGCAGCAATAAAGCAGGTTTTGAATTTTAGGGTTTAAATTTATATTCACTGATAAAATTAACTTTCCTCCATAATTTATTTTCTAAATTTATCTTTAGCATGTGAATTTATCTCATGCATTGCTAACGCAGTTAAAGAAAAAGTTGCTGAAATCGTTAACAAAAAAAAAAAATTTCAACATTTTTTCAGATGGTTCTCAAGCTAGGAAAACAAATGATGAGAAAAAGTTAGTTTTTGTACAAGTCAAACAAAATGGAACTCTATCCTATTTTTTTGTATCTTTACTTGAGATGGGCAATTTAGGTGGTACAGACCCTAGTGCCATTAAAAAGGCTACTGACAGCGTTTTTATTTAAGTTGGTAATATTTCTTTAACTGCGCAAGCATACAAAAACAAACTAGTCAGCGCTACTGCTGATGGTGTTAGCATTAATTTTGGCATTTACAAAGGGCATTAACTCAAAAAAGATCAAATGTGGCTCATAAAACTTCACTGTGTGAACCTCCATTTAGAATTGGCTATTAAAAGTGCAGTAAAAGATATTGTTCAGTTTAAAGAGCGTGAACATTTTTATATTACCTTATTTAACTTATTTCACAATTCTGGAAAATTAAAAAAAGAAGTTAAAAAAGCCGCTGTGGCATTAAATATTACACACTAAACCTTAATCAAAATATCTTTGTAAGTCACAGGAGACACAGTTTTTTAATTATTGTTTAACTGTTTTTACGGTTTTACACGGTGTAATACGGTTTTACAAAATAACTTACAAAATAACAAAATAATTACAAAATAATTACAAAATAATTAGTTCCGGCCAGTTATTTTGTAAAACACGGTTTTACAAAATAACTGGCCGGAACTTGTTATGGGTTTTGACAACGCTCTTGCTGATCACAGTATGAAAGCAGAAAGGTGTGCTAAACTTTCCGGCACCAATTGACTGCGCAACAACAAATTAATATTCTAGTCTGTGTTTATTTGGATGTGCTTAAGAAATTGAGTCCATTATTGTTGGTTTTTGAAGAGAAATATGTTAATAGTGCATGAGTTAAAACAGTGGGTCTTACTAAGACTAGCTTACTTGAATTATAAAATGAAGAAATCAGCGATATACTTGATTCATATTTACTTAAGTTTCAAATTAAGGAAATATATAATTCAACCATTCTTGTTGCTTCCTATTTCAAAGATGGTAACAAGTTGAAAAAACAAATCAAGAGCTTGTTTTTATTGAAAATATGGATAATCTTAACTTTGTTAGTATTAATTTTGGTATCCAAATAAGGAAAGCTGCAGTAAATGTCATTCTGCCATTGATAGATGAAAGATTTGGTTCACTGTTAAACCCAATATTCAAATCAATGGCTAGGTTAGATCCACTATTTTGGATAGAGGACAAGATGTATGGTGATACCAGCATCTCTTTATTGCTAAGTGAGTTCAAATTTCCTCTAAAAGCTGCAGGGTTGGACATTAAAATGGTTCTCTCTGAATGGAAAGTGGCAAAGCTCATAATAAAAGCAGAGTATAAATGGCAAAAAATGTTTTTATACCATGAAAAAAAATTTCCAAACCTGCTTCTTATCATTGAACTAATTACGGGCATGTCTTGCCATAATTCATCAGTGGAATGCATTTTTAGCGTATTGACAGTGATACTTACTGATCCCCAGTTAAAGATGGAACACCAGACAATGGAAGACTGCATAATGATAGCTGGGATCCAAGTTTTACTTCTAACAAACAAGATAAGATTTTGAGTAGAGCCCTCGAAATTTATTTAAATAAACAAAGAGTTGTTCACCTTGAATCAGCTGATATACTAGCATTGCAACAAACTATAGTAATGACGAAAAAAGCAGCAACAATGATTTCACTTCTACTTCGGAATCGGACTATTAACTTGATGTGTTCTTTATAGAAATTATTGAAGACACAATATTTCTTTAAAGTCATAGTTGTTTACAAAATAAATAATAAAATTGCATTTAAACATAGTAATAAAATACACAAACTTTTTAAATAAAATTTAATTTTTTAATAATATTCTTTGTTAATTAACATATAATGCTTTTTATTTATAACAATCGTTAAAACTTGTAGATTTTATTAAAAGCACTTAGGGTAGTAGAAAAACATTTAATTAAAAAGTTTACAAAACAGCAAACAAAAATTGGATTGTTTTCAACAATATAAATTTTATGTGTTTTTTATAAAAAGTTTATTAAAACACATTGGTAGTTGTCGTTGTTTATAAAAATTAAGAATACAAATCGCTTTAAAAAAATTTTGTTATTTTTGTTGTTTATAAAATTAAGAATTGTATTAGAAAAATTACACTTATCATTAAAACAAAAATACTTTAGAAATAAATAAAAGTTTTATTAAATACTTCTTGATAATTTATTTAATAGCATATTAAAACTTTATTTAAAAGCGTTAAGCTTTTAATTAGAAATCATACTTTCTAATATAATGTTTGTACACAACGCATAACAACAACAACAAAATAGCTTTGTGCGTAAAAAATAATGCATATCAACTACGCCTAAAAAAATAAAAAATGTGTAAAATAACTAAAAAATAACTAATAAAATGTTTTTGACTATTAAATTTATAGATTCATCAAAAAGAGTATTGAAACAATAGCTTTTGTTGTTGTTTATAAAATTATCCGTACGAGTTGTTTTAAAAACATATACATTCATTGTAAAAAAAAAAAAAAAATTGAGAAAAAAATGACAAACTTACACTGGCCTTTTTAAATTTATCTTTCTTCCATTCTTTTGTTGCAGCTATGCTTTCTTTTAGAAAGTATGGATCAAGCTCATCTTTTAAAGCCATGCTAATTGCCTGATGAAAAAAAAATTATTTACTAAAATTCATATCTTGTAAATGGCTACACAATTGTATTGTTTATCAGTTTTAAATTTTGGTTGATAACTTTAATGGATTACTATAATGATTATATATACTGTCCACAATGATAACATAAAATAAACATAATGTACGATGTACACGATGATTACATAAAGTAAACATAATGTGCAATATACACAATGATTACATAAAGTAAACATAATGTGCAATGTACACAATGATTACATAAAGTAAACATAATGTACAATGTACACAATGATTACATAAAGTAAACATAATTTTTTTATAAAACTTCATATTTTAGTTTAAAATGAAGTTTATAAATAGAAGTTTCATATATCATGACTCAAATAATCAATAAAATTAATAAAGCTTATTGATTTAATATTTAGAAATAAATATATTAATACCTTATTAATTTATATAAAAAGCATATCTTATTAATTAGATTTTGTTTTTTAATTAAATAGGAAGCACCTTTCTATTTAGTGTTTATATTTCTTCATTTCCTCTTTAATTGATAAACACTAAATATCTCATTTAAAGTCCAACACTCTTTGACAATCAATTAAAAAATTTTTATTCTACTGCTGTGTTCCATATTAACAGAAAAGTCATGCATTTAGATGGAAGCGGCAAAAAAGTCTTGTATTAGATGGAAGCGGTGAGGCAAGGGCTTTTGCTCATGACATATAAAAGGTTTTTAGGCCTGGCATGCTGCTTTTATCCATAATTTTTTTTTATATGAGAAATCTAAGAAAGTTTTTTAAATACTTTGTAGGGAGTGAATTTGTAATTAGCAGCTTTGTAGGGAGTGAATTTGTAATTAAATTAAAGGGAGGAATATGTTTGTGGACTAGTAAAAAAAAAAAAAAAGTTGCTCTATTTGAGGTTGAACTATGTTACATTTTTATTTCTATTTTTATTTCTATTTTTGTTTTATTTTTTTAACTTTATCATGAAATTAAAAAAACCTAATTTAAGATCATCATAAACAAGTTTAGAGGATTTCAGATATTTCCATGATAAGAGTTCTGATTTAGCCTTTTGGTAATTGAAATAAGAGTTTGCTTTTGAATTTCAAGTGAATGATTTTTATTTATATTAAAATACTATAACTTGACATTAAATTTTTTAAAGGATGTGACATTAAGACAACTTTTGTGAGAGGATGTGACATCAAGACAACTTACTATTTTTAAATTTATCTTTAATTTGAAAACTGATGTTTTTTAAAAATTTATCGCAGTACTAATTGATTAACTTAAATTATTTTAATTACTTATTATTAAGATTCTTATGATTGTCCTCCCAGTTTGATGTCCTCAGTTCTGATGACATTAAACTGGGCGAGAAGAAATTTGTTTTTACACCTGTTTCAAACTGGGTGAAAAGCAATTTGTTTTTACACCTGTATCAAACAGGTTGAGAAGGAATTTGTTTTTACACCTACACTTAAATTACTCTTTTTTATTGAACAAAATTAGATTTTTTGAAGAATAGAATTTCATACCTTTTATTAATGCATAAAGGGTCATCCATAAATTGTCACGCTTGAGGGGGAGGGGTAGGGGTAGAAGGAGTATCGACCGCACTAACATTGCTAGTTATGAGAAAATTATATTTATAAAATAATATTTTTGAATGTATATATCAGAAGAATAGCTATTTAAAATTGGGTATTTTACACCGAACTATTGGGGTGAAAAAAAAACATTAAACAGACTGAATAGTACTAATTAACTCAAAGAAGCTAAGAGAATTTTAGACATTATATTTTAAATCATTAAAAAAATTTTTTAGGGGGAAAGGGGGTTACAAAATTGTTGTGTAATACTGAGGGGGGGGGGGGGGAAGGGGTCAAAAATGTCAAAAATTGCATGATGTAATTTATGGACAACCCCTAAGGTATGAAAAATGAAAAGTAAAGAAGATATAATACAATAGTCCAATCACAGTTTTCAGTTGCAAAAGAAATGGTTGGTCAACTAATTCAAATTAGGTTTGGTACCCAAGAATCTTAGAATTTGGGCTAAAATAGCTATTATTTTACCTCCAAAGTATCAGGATTAAAACTTCACAAATTAAAATAGAATTTTAGATGATTAATAAACTGTAAAATCTAGCATTAAAGGTTGTTAAGTCTAGGTCAGACTCCCACCCCTCTCAAAGCTGTAAACTAGGCAATTAATATACCTTAAAATTATCAGAAACTAAATTTTCACAAAAGATTTAGATACCATCCATAATGGTACTTAAATATCCCAAATTCCAAACAGATTTCCTGATTGAGCTCAGAGCAAATTGAAGTCTTTAATGAAGCTAAATAGCATAAAGTTAGGATGTGTGTTGAGTCTAGAAGAGAAAGAGCATCACTAGAAGAACCAGCCCAAATATGACAACAGTATTTCATTTAGGGATGAATAAGAGATTTGTAGAGGTAGAGAATGGAATCAGGAGTAAGAAAATGGCAAGAACAATAAAGAGAGGCAACCTTAGCGGATGCTAATTTAGCAATTGATTATATATATGGTTTCCATGAAAAGTCAGTAGTAAACAATAATCCAAGATGTTAAGAAGAGGACTCAGTGAGAGGGTTGCCATTCATTAATATAAGAATGTCAACAATATTGTGATAGTTGTTTGCAGTAAATAAGTGAGTTTTGTTAGAGTTTAAACTTACAAGCCACTGTGAGCCCAAATCTGTTACAGAAGTGATATCAGATTCAAGATCAGCTGCCTGTTCTAATCAATCAAAAATAAAAGACTTTTTGTCAAGATAGGAGTATAAAGTGAGTCATCAGCAAAAAGAGTTACTTTAGATGAAAAGTTGTTGGGAAGATTATTAATGTAGATACGAAAAAAAAACAGGACCAAGGATAGAACCTTGACTGGAAGTTACTGGAAATGAAGAAAGTGATGGCCTTCAAGAATGACTTTAATAAAGCAGTTAGAAAGAAATAATTTGATTATCTCAAAAACTTTCCCTGATACACTATATGAAACAAACTTATGAAAAACACAAGCATGCCAAACTTTGTTGAAATATATATCAAAAGCTATAGCCTGAGCCTCTCCACCTCCATCTAATGCACAATAAAATCTTTTAGTCACAGCAGTTAACAAGTTAGCCGTAGAGCTAGAGGATCAAAACCATATTGATTGTCTGACAAAAAAATTATTTACAAAAATGGGAGAAATTAGTTGATCAAAGATTAAAAGACCTTGCAGATAAAAGAAAGAAGAACGATTGGATGATAATTAGTGGGATCAGAATGTTCTCCTGAGTTTTTTTAAATAATCATAGAAAAGACGGCAAGTTAGCTGAGGTAAACATAATGCAGGACCTGTTTGATGGAATAATGATGTAAACTTCAAAATTTTAATTACAATACAAGCTTGCATTGAAACATTGATTCCTTCTTGCATAGATGTATTGATAATCGAAGCTTTTTACTTTTTGATTTTCCTTTTATTATTTGATTTATCTTTTGGTATGGTATCAAAGCTCATTTCTAATCAACTTTGCTCAAAGAAAAGTAACAAAATTCACTTTGTGTTTGATAAAACTGTTTTGCCTTCCATTAAAGACTATGATTAGAACAGTAGATCAGCTAAAAGAAACTTCCCATATCAAATCACTGCTTTATCACAAAAAAGATCCTCTAACTGGATTTCTGCACATTAAAATGATCAGTTCAAAGAAGCTTTAATAAACTTGACAGTTGGCTTATCTCAATACTAGGTCATAAGAATTGTTTGAGAAAAGTTTGTGTTCAATAATAAACAATGTTTCTCCATTACATCACAAAAAGGAAAAATGATAAAAGCTGAAGAACCATATTTGAATTCTACCAACAAAAAGGCTGATTCCAGAATGATCTTTCACCTAAAGTCAATTACTGGACCATTAATTTTTATTGTGCATACGTCTGATACAGATGTTTTAATAATTTTCATTGGATGTTTGGCTAGTATCAACCAGGATGTGAAGTTGTGGCTAGAAATTGGTTTGTATACAAAGAATACTTTAAGATGTATAAGTGTTAATAAGTTATACACAAAATGGGAAAAAAAAATTTGAAAATCTCTTTCAGCAAACCATACATTTATAAAATGTGATTACACAGCTACTTAAATTCTAAAGGTCTGACCTATGAAAACTCTCAAGAAAGATTCCATTGTTCAAGAAACATTTGGTAGAATAGGTACAAATGAGTTTGTTCTTGAGGCAGATATAAGATGCGATTACCAATAACAGCATTTTTAAAATTTACTGAGTTTTATTTTTGAAGCTGCTGATAATACTGATAAAAATGGCAAGTTATTCCAAATGTTAACTCTGCCAGAGAACAATAATAACTAACATTGAGTAGACATAGCTTTAATTCATGATTTTGAATATGGATTCAGTTAAAAAGAATTTAAATTTATTAAACTTATAGCATACACTGTGCGACACAATGATAAGACACCCCAAAAATATTTATAAAACTCTACTATACATTTATATTAAAAAACTACTTTTTATAGTAAATGAGAGCAAAAGGATTACAAAACTAAACAACATTTAATTTATTTTAAACCTAACTCACACTTTATTGAAAAAAACTGTTTTTTTAGTGCAACAAAATTATAAGTTGTCATTTATATAAAAAGACGTCTCAATTTTAAACAATCAATAGTGGGTACTTTTATCATTTTTTTGAATCATTTCATTCATTCTAGATGGTGAAGAATCATACAATTTTTCTATGTACGTTATGTCAATTGCATCCCATGCAGATGCAATTAATGATTTCAAGTCAGCTACTGAACTATAGTTTACTACCTTCAAAAACTATATGTGACAGCTGTGCCTAAGCATTGTCAATAATGTTCAGGTTTGGAGATCTAGCTGGCCACTTCAGTTTCAATTTTATTGCTGTTGAAATATTCTTTTACTATCTTAGCTGTATGAACACTAGCATTATCTTGCTGAAAAACAAAATTTTCATCATCTATGACAGATGCTTCACATCTTAAAAATTCTTGAACAATTAAAAGATAATCCTTCATTTTTCTGTCAATAAAATGAATTTTTGATTTACCATGATACCCAATCACACACCAAATCATTACACCACCACCACCCATTTGATGTCATTGTTGTGTTACTGGTTCTTTATGCAAATCATGAAAATAATAATTCCATCTATCCGGCCCATCAAGACAAAATCATTTTTTGTCAGAAATACTACTTGTTGCCACTCTTCTTTCCATGTTACATGGTCAAAAATTATTCAATTGTTAATGTGATTTGGTGTCAATTGTTTATGTGATTTGATGTCAAAGGTTTTTCACCTTTGCGCAAAAAATTCCAGCAAAATTTTTTGCGCAAAGGTGAAAAAAGGTGAAAAGCATTACGAATAACTTGCTGAACTGTATGTAAATTAGCAATCACACTTGCTTCTACAGCAATTTGACGTGCAGTTAATGAAGAATTTTAAGCTTGTTTCAACAACCTTCGCCTATCAAAGTCACTTAATGTTGATGGACATCCGGGATTTTTTTTATTCTATACATATGAGGACTATGAACGAAGTTTTTAGTCACAGTTCGGCTGCGTCCAAAAGCTCTATGAAACTAATGCAGTGACCCATTTTTGATAAGTTAGAGAGCACTTTTTTCTCATCTGGACTCAACGGTGCAGCACGACCCATTATTAATTAATTTGTTATTTTATACTTAATAAAAAAAAACCTAAACTAATTTTTTGACAGTTCACAAAAGTTTACAGTTTAATAATTGTTTGTGAGGTTTACAACAAAGAAATTATATATTAAAAAAAAATATTTTTAATTGCCCGCAATTGTGGTTTGCATATAAAACATTTTTTTGTAAAACTGTCTTGAAATTTTGTCGCACTGAAAAAACTTTTATATATAATGCGAGTTACATTAAAAATAAATTTTTTAAAATGTTGTTTAGTGTTGTAAAACCTTTGCTTTCATTTACAATAAAAATTAGTTATTAAATATAAATATATAGTAGAGTTTTATAAACCTTTTTGGGGTGCCTTATCATTATGTCACGCAGTGTAGGACTATATTTTGTTTCATGCAACATGTGACTACATCTTGCAACTTGCTTTAAAGGAGAAATTTTAGGTAATTATAAATCAAATTTGCAATTTTTCAACTTACTAATTTAAGTTGCGGAGACCATACCGAACATACATACATACCATCCATAATAATTAGAATTATCATACTTTTTGATATTAGATATCATTAGATTAGATATCAGTTTTACTTACTATTGGGAGAAAAACTGAAAACAAAATTTACCTAAATATGTTATCGTTGTTTTTTATTATGTTTACAAAAAATTAATATAAGGTCCAATTAGATTATTTTATAATTTACTTGGCTTATAATTACCCTTTGTGACAATAACTGCTTTACATTTTCTTGACATTCTTGAGTTATTCAATTTTTCGAAGCCAATTTTATGCCTCTAACTAATAAGTTTTTTCCACATCTTATGCATCATTAGGCATTAGTTTTTGACATTAGTTTTAATTACTCCCGTAAAAATCTGATAGGAGAGAGATGGTGTAATTGAGGGGGGCTAAATCATTTTATTTAATAGTTGATTGTTTTCAAACTCAATCAAATAACTTAAACTTATTTTTTGAAATATATATTTTAAATTTAAGCTTTAAGTCCTTTTCTTTTGAAAAAATAAATAGCTTCTCATAAACCTATCTTTTCGAAAGGTGTAGCATAACTTTTTAAGTGTAACAAGTAAACTACTTTTGTCATTACCCTCTCTATCTTATCTTGAAACCAAAGAGTTAAAACTTTGACACGTCGGTCAGCGTTTTCAGTCATTGATGGTTCATTTTTTATGTAGTTTTGCCAATTTAGCATTTTTATTATCCTTATGATCTTTATTGAAGCATTTTAACCAAAACACTTTTAAGTTATCTAATAGTGCAAAACTAAACATAAAAAATATTTAAATAAAAAAAAACACTAAAAAAAAAAGTTGATGCCATTCGAATAATTATGAACGGTAGTGTAGAAATATATATATATATATATATATATATATATATATATATATATATATATATATATATATATATATATATATATATATATATATATATATATATATATATATATATATGTATATATATATATATATATATATATATATATATATATATATATATATATGTATGTGCATATATATAAATATTAAAGATGATTTCTTTATATTATCATGTATAATAATGTATATTTTAAAGAGTGCTCAATAGATAAACTAGAGCTATACAGTATGATCAAAAGTTAATTTTGCTACAATACAAGTTGTAGCAAAATTAACTTTTGACTACTTGCCTGATGATTGTGGTAACACATGAAACTTTAAGTCGCAATATAGTATTATAAATATTAGCATTTAGCTAATTCCTGATACTGCAGGTAACAGTAATATATATACTATATATATATATATATATATATATATATATATATATATATATATATATATATATATATATATATATATACATATACATATATATATATACATACATATATATATATATATATATATATATATATATATATATATATATATATATATAAATAAATATATATATATAAGCATGCAATATATATATATAATATATATATATATATATATATATACATATATATATATATATATATACATATACATATATATATATATATATATATATATATATATATATATATATATATATATATATATATATATAAGCATGCAATATATATATATATTATATATATATATTGCATGCAATATATATATATATATATATATATATACATATACATATATATATATATATATATATATATATATATATATATATATATATATATATATATATATATATATATATATATATTGCATGCTTTTTTCATATTCTTTTGTTAAAATTAGAATTAAGTTCAAAACTATCAAAACTGTAAAAAGCAAACCTTTTAAAGCTAGCTGTAAAAAAGTAAACCTTTTAAAGCTAGCTGTAATTACAATTGTAATTTTACAATTAAAACCATTATATTAAACATACAAGATACTTAGTTAAACTTATAGAATATACCATTAAACTCTTGCTATTATATTAGAACTAATAAATATATAGAGAATATTTTCTCTTTATGCAAGTTAAAAAACATCTCAGATCATAATTACCAACAATCATCTGGTAGGTAATAAAAACTGCTGGATTTGCTGGTAATTTTTATCCTAAATCTTAATAAGAAAGGCTCACTATCATCTTAGGTTCTTCATAAAACATTATAGATCTTGGAACTTTTAGACTAAAGATTTTCAAAAACTTTATCAGAAATATTCAAGACATTAAATAGACAGCATATAGACAGCAAAAAGCACACATCATGGCAGTCATCAAATAGACAGCAAATAGAAATCAAATACACATTAAATCGACAGCAAACAGACAGCAAACAGATAGCAAACAGACAGCAAATAGACAGTAAAAAGCACCTATCATAGTAGTCATTAAAGAGAAAGAATGTAAAAGCAAGAGTGGGACAAAAAATATTTTTTAAAAGCAACTTAAACAAAATATACTTACTAAAAGTTAAAAAGAATTTTAAACCAATTTGCGGCACATTTCCCTGCACAAATTATTTCCCTGCAAAAATTATTTGGCAAAACAGATAATTTCTATCCTTTTAATCTGATTCCAAAACGCTATATCAATAGAAGATATATTGTTTTGGGATCCTGATGCAATATTTGTAGAACTTTCTTTTAAAATTTATTATGGAAGCCATTCTCTATTCATAGCTATGGAATCTAATTTCCGCTGGAGGTGTTTTCATTAAAAAATAATACCAGATCACTTACATGAAACCTTACTAACAAGAAACCTACAAAACATAAATATAAAAAGATTCATTACTTACTGTAGCAGCAGATTCATCAAATCTATTAGGCAAAAGCCTATCTCGTAAACCACGTAATTTACGACTTGATGAGTTTAGCTATAAATTAAAATTAAAATAATACAGTCAACTGTAAAACTGTAATTAATAATAAATAATTATTAAATTGATAAATATGATATCCAAATCAGAAAGATAATATTTCATTCAAAACTTTTTTAAATTATACAAAAAAATTATACATACATTGTAAAAACTTTAAATGTATTTTACAAAATAGAGTGATCAATGTTCTTAAAAGAAGGGAGCAATAATAAATTAGGAGAAAATCACTTATCAAATTTTTTTATTTGACACAGTATTTTATTTTACACGGTGTTCCTTCATGAATAATAAATTCATGAAGGAACACCGTGTAAAATAAAAAATGTAATAAGTCATTTTCTGATAACTTTTTTTGTTGCTTAAAGTTTGTTTAAACTATCACATTATAAAAACTGATTTTAAAAATTAGTCACATTAAAAGCCATTTAAAATACTAAAAATTAATAAAATTTAAAAATTAAGTTGACAATAAAATGGATAAGAAAACTGGGTGGGTGTAAGCAGAACAACAAAGTGTCAAATAAAAAGTATGAAGTATGGCTCCATAATAGATTTCCAATAATAGGTATGAAGGATAACTCTATCAGTATCAGAGAAATAGTAATAAGCTCAAAATTTCAGAAAAATTTAATTAAAATTTATTTATTTAACTTAAGTGCTAATGCAGTTAAAAAATAAATCCTGACGGCAAAAGATCAGCACACTGGATTAAGGTGGTGTAAGGAGAAACTTTGGGTGCTCTTTGGGAAAATGGAAGCAAGTAATTTTCAGTGATAAAAACTTTGAAGTAATAAATAGAATAGTTCTTCCTTAAAAATTTTGTAATCAACTTGATTACAAAGATTAGAATCAAAGATTCATAAATAGCCTAAAGCATTAATTAGGTATCATTTGGAGGAGTTCAAGCCAAAATTTGCAATAATCTTGTTAAATCAATGCAAAAAAGATATCTAGCAAAAAAGAAAATAATAAATTAGATGTTTATTCTGCTTTTTTATAAATATATCAGTTTATTATTATTTTTTTTTTTTTGAATATTGTAGCTACCAAATTTAAACAATTACTGATATGTTAATTAATACATTATAAACTTAAAATGACTACTAATTAATTATTAACTTATTAGATTAATTATTAACTTATTAACTATTAGATTGTGCTGTAGAATCTAAAAGTATAGTAATGTATCATTTAAAAAAAGAAATCAGAAGTACAAATGGCTACTTATAATAAATAAAGATGGCTACTTATAAATCAATAAAATATTGAAAGAATTTGAAGAATAAAATTTGAAAAATGCTTATAGCTTAATGGTAATCAAACTTCAACTGCATAAATCATGCAGTAGTGATGGTAGTGGTAGAGGGCTTTGTAAGCAAGAAGTTCTGAGTTCATATATATTAAACTTGGAACTTCTCGCTTACGAATAAATCATTGAATTAAGAGTGATACAACTTACAACCATTTATACCACAACATAAATATTTTTTAGAGAATAAAGTTAATTTTATCAGAGGTAAACCTTAATAAGAAAGCTAATAACTTGACCTAAGAAGTTGCATTTATTTTTGCAAGTTGATGTTATAATTTTTATCTTTAATTTTGTCTATTAATATAGATTAAAGTGTAACTTTATTAACCCAACTAGTTAAAGTTTTATTTTTTGTTCACTTTTTGCAAAATATTATAAAATAAAATCAATGCATAATGAGTTCTTTTTTAAAAAAATAATTTTTTGACCTACTAAATTCCAAGCTGATTAAAAAAATATAAAGGTACCAATATATAATTTTACTTTATATTTTTTAAATATAATATGAAATTTAATTCTAAAAATAATTTTTATAATAAAATAATAAAAATAAAAATTGAAATTTAATTCTAAAAATAAATAATGATTACTAACATCAATGCTTTGCTTCTTGACACGATTACGAAGTCTTTCTCTAACAGACATGCTCATACTTACTGATAATGAACCAGCACGATCATTGCTAGGAGATGCAGGTGAAGAATCTAAATAAGTATTAAAAAAATTAACATGGATAGTCTATATGATGCACGGAAATGATAAAATATGCGGTAGTGGTGTAGTGGTAGAGCACTCACCTCATAAGCAAGAAGTTCCGAGTTCAATCCCCACCACTTCCCTGGTAGTACCGCGCTAAACTTGTTTCTCTGCGCAGAGGTTTTGTTCATCGAAGTTCATGTTTTGGAGTTATTGAGTTGAGAGAGGGTTGTAACCACAACTAAAAGTAGCCTTCTCAACTGTAGTGGCCTTGATGGGCCTTGAAGAGGTGAATTGAAATTAAAAAAAAAAATCTAAAATCAAAAAGGTATCTTATCAAATCACAGATGATGTTAAAATCACAAGGCTGTGAGGTCATTTCCCTAAAGAAAGTAAGAAATTTGATCAAATCCCTGATATGTTTTAGTGAAATGTTAAAAACATTAAAATTACAATGCTCTGACCTCAGAGCTTTGTAATTAAAAAAAAAAACATACCTAAAGAAAATAAGTGATTTGATCAAATCCTCAAACTGTTTTAGTGAAATGATGAAACAATATAGTTTAGATTTTAAAAGTATTTCTTTAATAAACCATGCATTGTATTTTGTAATTCCAACTAAGGATCTAATTTATCATAAAACTATTTTTTATACAACTTTTAACACAAGCCTCACAATGTTATTTTCATTTAATTGGTCTCTATTTACCTTAGGTACATCAACCAAAACTGTGATACTCTCTAAGATGTCTTTAAATTCCTTTAAAGAAACCTCTTTTGTTTTTTTAGCTAATAATTTCAAGTGCTTTACAGCATTTTGATAATGTAACACTACAGATGTTTTAACTGTGTAAAGAAAAAGATAGATAAGTACTATACATTGAGATAATATTCCAGATAACCCAAATACTTTTATTTGTGAAAATCATTGGCCTATAGATTATGAAAAAGTTTTAGTTTAGGGAAAGTTAAGACCAAAACATCCACCATCTGTTTTTTCTTGTGTAAATCCAATTCAAAGCTAGCACCATCAAGACCAACTACTAAATCATTTAAGAAGTACTATGCCTGATGAAATGGAGGTGAAAGCAGGTAATATTTCTTCTTTTGAAGAGTTATATAACAAAATAATGTCTAAAACTACATCTGGTCCTTCTCGATAATATCAAATATCTATAAAAACTGTTTACATATTCAATCTGCTGATATATTGTACAACTTGGGTGTTCCAAAGTTTATTTTAAAAATAAAAAATGATTTATCATTTGATAGCTATCACTGTAGTGTTTAGTGCACCACAAAATCTTTTTCTTACAACCATATGAATATTATTGACTGTATAAGTCGTCTCCATGCTGCAACACACTATCTGAATTCTTTCCCAATTGATCACAAGAAAAGTATTATTATTGAACAAATGTTAAGTATGAACTCCATTATGTTTATTGGTGGAAAAAAGTATTCTCCTGATATGGTTGCAAGGGTATTTGAGTACTTTTCATTGTCAAGAACTCTTTACTTTCAATTATGGGATGACTACTAACTATCAAGTATATCATTGATGACAAAGTTGATTAAATCTAAAATTAGAAACAATAGAGATGATTTTTTAAATCTGTATTTTGACAAATGTTCTATTTCGTAAAGACAGATTATTCTACTAATTAATGAAATTTATGCTAAACCTCAGTTACCATATCAAGGAGGTAGCCTTTTTCGTAAATCTGTAAAAGAATTAGCGAAAAACAGTTTGGGTTTAATGAACTGTCCTTTATTATGTCAAACACAGTTTTTGTATAAAGCATTACCAGTAACAGGTTTAGATAATTTTTCATATGATCAACCAATACAAACAATTGAAACAATAAAAAATTGTGGTCGTTCTGTTGTTACTATTCTTTGTGACAATAACAAAATAAATAAAAAGTTTTTTGACATGTATAATCTCTATAATACTTAGTGCACTAATGACAACATTTTTCTATTACATGTAAGTATTTGGTGCACTAATGATAACATTTAAACATAGAATATATTTTATATGTATTGTATTATATATTTTAACTAACTGTAGTTTTATATTGAAAAGTTATTTTATCATAAAGATTTTAGAGTTTTTTGGACAATAAAAAGTGAGTTTTTACTATATTATATCTAATGAAATGTGGTTTGCATTTATTTACTCATTATTTATTGAAAGCTAAAAAAAAAAAAAGCACAAATTTGCAAAGTGGTTTTTCATGTTTTATCATCTTAAAAACATAAAAAACTTAAAGCTCATTTTAATCTTAAAATCTTTTTCTTTCCATAAGAAAAAAATTAAAATTAAAAAAAATTTAGCAGCTTATAGCTTAAAGCTTAATTCATTATCTACACATGTAAGAGAAAAGCGTTTACAAAGTCAACGTTATTGACTTTGTAAACCCCAACGTTATTATTATCCTAGAGTATTTTTTCCGTCAAATTATATATAATTTGACGGAAAAAATACTCTAGGATAATTATGCAGCTTTTTTTTTATCAGATATTACTCTTTAGTGTACAATGTTTCTAGTTTTGTAAAGTGATTACAAAATAACTTTACGGATAGCTTTCATACATGTTTTGTAACACTTAGCAATCAAATTATTATATATATATATATATATATATATATATATATATATATATATATATATATATATATATATATATATATATATATATATTTACAATATATTTATTTTTATAATATATTAATTTAGTATAAGTTTAAAATGGCTTTTCATATTCATACAACAGAGTATTTTGTGACATCAACATTATCAATAACAAAAAAAAATTTGTATCAACATTATCAATAACAAATTATCCATTAAACTTATGAAATAATTTGTTACATCATCTAAGCCTGTTCACCTAAACCTGTTGAAAAAGAAAGTAAAAAGTTGGAAACAACTACATTACAACATAATGTATATAAACAATATCTATTAATATGTATATAAATAAAACATATGTTAATATAATTTATAAAAATTTTTTTTTTTAAATCTATGTATATTAATACATACACACACACAAACACACACACACACACACACACACACACACACACACACACACACACACAGAGAACATATCAACTATTTGATACTTAATGTTACTCAAGGAAGCTACAGTAACCTTACCTTCAGAAGCCACAACACTGTCTGCATTAACTGAACTCACTTCTTTTGTACCTAAATTCTAAGTAGCAGTAGCAAGTTAATTTATATGAAAATTAAAAAAATAATAATCACTTTATAATGCAGGAAAAAAAATTTTTGTCAAACAAAACTTGTAAAAATGTGCTTTTGAGTTAAAAAATTTCATTTTTTATACAGTAAAACCTAACGTGATAATTTTATTTAAAAAAATGTAATTTTTGGTATTTTTACATAACTTTTGTTTTACAGAAATGGTGTGAAATTTTTTTTTTAAATCTATGTATATTAATACATACACACACACACACACACACACACACCCACACACAGAGAACATATCAACTATTTGATACTTAACCTCTAACTTGCATATAGAACATAAAAATAAAAAAGATAATAAGTATGAATGAGTAAAATAAATTTAATGAAAATTTGAAAATTTTTTGCTTGAAAATATTTTTCCACAAGCACACAAAAAATGTAACAGATATATTATATAAGGCAATACAACTTAAATCATAAAATTACAACTTACAATTTGTAATATATATGTAGCAGTATATACATATTCTACACACACAGGTATATATATATTTATATATATAGATATAGATATATATATATATATACATGTAAAAATACATACATGTATATATATATATATATACATATACATATATATATATACATACATATATATATATATACATATATATATATATATATATATATATATATATATATATATATATATATATATATATATATATATATATATATATATAAATGTATATATATAAACATAGGTATATATACACACACACACACTCTTATTATTTAGAATATTTCATCTCAGATTTTTGTATTTTAATAAAATAGTTTCAATTTAACATTGTATGTTTTTATTAAATTTTGTACACGGACAGGGTCCGTGTACTGGTTGGAACACTTTGAGCCGTAATAGCCTGAGGGAAATAAAGAAAATTAAATTAGTAAGTTTAAGTGTTAGCATCAGATTATCAAAATTGGACACATGTCCAGTACAAAATTACAGTTTCAGTAGATGAAGAAGGAACACAATAAAAATCTATACTGGCAAAGGTAAGAACTAACTAATCAAAATATAAAACTATATTACTAAGCTGACTAATGTATAAGGTACATGCAGTGAGTTAAATTATTGAATATATATTTATTCTTCGCGTCATGGTGTGTCTACTAAAGCCTGCGGTTTGTAGAAAACTGACTAATCTAGACCGGCACATAGAACATTTGTAACATTATCTACTGAAACAAAACTAAAAGGTAAAATAAATGAAGGCTTTATAAAGATAAAGCAGTTAAAACAAAGACAGGAAATATGCTAATAATAAATTGTTTAAATCAATAAAAAGATCAAAAAGGAAACAAACGGTCGGAAAGATTTAGTACCGTCAGGATTAGTGTTGGAAGAAGTCGTTGCTCAGTGAAACCACAGCTCCCCTAAAGAGGAACGAGAATACATATTTTTGTAAAATTTTGTGCACGAACAGGGTCCGTGTACTGGTTGGAACACTTTGAGCCGTAATAGCCTGAGGGAAACAAAGAAAATTAAATTAGTGAGTTTAAGTGTTAGCATCAGGTTATCAAAATTGGACACATGTCCAGCGCAAAAACAAAGCTTATCTGGAACCGGAAGGAAAAAACACAATATTCTTTCTAATGACTATCAGTCTTTAACTATTTAACTCTACTCTTTCTATAGTAATATCCCGCAAGAAATTCAAGCAAAAAGAACAACATCTTGGCAAGGTACCGTATTATAGAAAAAACGAGTGAGAACGGAGCGCAACCATTGCCTACAAAAAAGAGCACCAATTTAAATGTCTCCGTGTCCGTTGTGATTTCGTTCCAAAATATCAGCTGGATAAATAACGGCCATGTGTACATCGGATAAAAACAGATTCCATTCATTTGTTTATAGACAGAGTGCCTCTCCATTACGACGTTTGTGTATGGCATTGCCATTGCTTCCGTCACAGCTTCATTTAGGTATGGCAACATTATGTGTGGTTCCTGGTAAGATATAGCATCATTATCAATAACTTAGAATTATCTAGAATTGTCTAGATGTTATCAAAAAATACCTATATCAGTTACTTAGAAATGTCTAGATGTTATTAAAAAATACTAATCTGACTGCAACTGTCTAACTCTAGTCTCCCTAAAGTGTATAACCACGAGCATTCTAAGAACAACAACCAATCATGAGCATGTATATCATAGGTTATTATACGTACATACATATATATACACCCTCACATATACATATATATATATATATATATATATATATATATATATATATATATATATATATATATATATATATATATATATATATACATATATACGCACATACACACACATACATACACACACACATGCATAAGAAAAAAGAGATATTTACAAATCGCACACAGTCCGTTGTGTTATAACAAATTATGGTCAGTTGTTGTGAACCTGGTGCTAATCAAGCGATCCTTCAGAGACTTGTGGTTGGTATAAGCATGAAGAGGCATTTGTGGAAAGACCCTTTTGAGAAACGGATCGTGTTCCACAATGTTCCAGTGTTTTGCTATGACACTGTGTAACCTTCTTCCTATGGGGTCATTGGGTAAGACGATCGGTATTCTCTGAGTCAACCCCCTGTCAACCTCTTCGTTGGACTGTATTGACTTTCTTATGAGCTCTTCTTGGCTATGGCTTAAGGCTTTTTGTATTTGAAAGTTAATCACCGATAGCGGGTAACCTTTCAGCACCAGCGTTCTGGCTAGGACTTCCAGTTCCTTTTTCAAGTCATCATTATGTGTGATAACCCTATTGAACCTTAACGTCTGACCATAAATGAGACCAAGTTTTTGATGTCTTGGATGGCTAGACTCAAAGTGTAACAGGCTCATGGTGTCCGTTGGCTTCCTGTATAGTTTGGTACATAGCATTCCCCTCGAGTCCTTTGAAATTGTGAGATCTAGGAAGTCAATCGTATATGGCGAACTTCTGAAGGTAAATTTTATGCTGTTGTGCAGCCCATTCATGAAAATTTGAATTCTCTAGAGCTCTTTCGCCATCCCATTGAAAATAAAAAAGAGATCATCAATGAATCTTTTATAGAACTTTATATTGTTTGGGAAGTTGTTTGTAATTTCAGTGTCCAGAATTCCCATAAACAAATTAGCATACGGTGGCGCTATCCTCAAACCCATGGCCGTTCCATACCTCTGGTGGAAGTGTTGTTCTCCAAACTGGAAGGTGCTATTTTCTAGGATGGTACGTACTATGCAGCGTGTCTTTTCACATATGGAGTCATAGATATTAGTTATTATACAAACATACAAGTGTAGATAATGTTTTGTTAACTTTGCTTAACTGGGGGTACTCTGCTAACCGATTAATCTAATAAAAGATGGTGAGTGTTCTTAGTTCTTACTCATTCCTAGATCTATTTATTATACTTGCTTTTGTTTTTTATTCGCTATAGTCTTAATAGACACCAGCATACATAAGGAAGCTCTTATGTATGAACACACATATGTATATATTTGGTATGATTATAGACATATGTGTAGATTAATTCTAAATATGTTCATGACATATTAAGAATCACAGCTTTTCACACTTCAGATCCAAGCTTGACCGCCATGACATCATTATCGGAGGACACTGGTGTTATATATAATTAGGGCTAGGGAAAGGATTTGGCTTTTCTAGTAGTGAGGTCATAACTATCGCGATAGGACTAGCATGACGTAAATCATGGGTAGTAGTATCAAAAACGATGATACGCCTTTGACGATTGGCGTTATGTCTCTGATACTATTGCTGCCCGAAACGTCATCTGTGACACATGCATGGTTCTGAGGAGGGCGTCACAGGTAAAACCACTACTTAATTATGAATTTACGCTTAAACACCAGGGCCCTGGCTTGCACACACAACATTGCACATTTCACTTTTGTGTTTATACTTTTTTTTTTTTTTTTTTTACTTGCCTTGTTATCTTATTACATTTTTTTCTATTAGTGTATGATATTTGGTTTAATAACTGTAGTATATTTGTTTTGTTTTTGCGTTAAATGTGTATTAATAATTATTAAAGATATTTAAATTACTTTTCAACTGTGCCAAGTCATTTAGCGTAAACAATTAGCGATCCGCCTTTCGCACCACGTAGTCTGACATTGTGGGGTTCGAATCCTAGCTCAGCATGAATTTTGTATATACAACTTTTTTGACCTTAAAAGCGCTAGATAGTTCATCTCTTTAACTAAAAACTCACTGACCCTAATGACTGCGATAAATATAGTCTACATTAGAAATGCTTGGTCCGGTAGGAACTCCTACTAAAGTCAACCACAAGAAAGCTATGTTCAAAATAAAACTGCAAATTCATACGGGCTAGATTACCCGACCTCAAAAATGTAATATTAAAAATAAAATAACTTGGGCAAGACTACTTTGTAAAGATCTTATATAAAACGACAAATTCCTATTGGCTAGATTACTTAAAATTAAAGCTGTGATGATAAAAGTGAAATAACTTAGGCGAGACCACTTTTTAAAGATCTTATATAAAACGACAAATTCCTATTGGCTAGATAGCCTAATCTCAAAAAAGTGATACTGAAATGTGAAATAATTTAGGCAAGACCACTTTCATGATGGCTAAACTTATATTGGCCAGACTTCCAAACCTGAAATCGTGATGCAAAATTTTCTTGGCGTGAATACTGTGGGATAGGGCGTAAACAAAACGACAAACTCCTATTGGCTGGATGACTTAACCTCAGAGATATGTTATTGAAAGTGAATTAACTTGGGCGAGTCTACCGTGTAAGAACCCTATATAAAACAACAAATTCCTATTCGCTAGAATTCTTGAGATTAAAACTGTGATGATAAAAGTGAAATAAGTTAGGCAAGACCATTTTGTAATGATCTTATATAAAACGACAGATTACTATTGGCCAACTTCTAGAACCTAAAATCATGGGGACAAGA